AGTCAAGGTCACTTATGGTTTTGCAGCCACAAGAGTAGCGAATATCCAAATTTGAGAACAAAACTTCAAAGTTTATTCAATTTCCTAAAATATTCCAAAGTTATAAGTTTCTGGGTTAGTTTAGCACTCAGCGGCTCTTAGTTCTCTCAGTGCGCTGAGCAAAATTTCAGAGAAAAAATGGCAGAAAAATGAGCCACAACACACACACACTATTTACTATTTACTTTGTACAGTTATTTACAGACTGTAGCTGCGATGATTTCAATGTAGCTTAGCCATAGTATAGTGCAATCTATTTGTTTAGGGCACTTTCCTTCTCTTACACAATAAATACGGTAGCATGGGACATTGTCTGTGTAATAAACTCATCAGAATTGCTAGCTTCCAAACAGCTTCACTGGTGAAAATTCACCGTCCGAATCACTTTTCGAAAAATCTAAATTTGTATTATCATTATCACAATTTAAAACATCTGACTGAATCAATTTCAGAGCTTCAGCCGCAGAAAGACGCATTCTGCGACCTGTACTTGTGGTTGGAACTTTGGTATTCATGGCACTTGAAAACAAACTTAGAAAATGAACTGTTGAAAAAAATTTCGCTGTTATTTCTATCAAATAATAAACGTGTTTCTCAGGCTAGGAAATAAAACTAAAAGGATTTTGGCAGAGTGACTTTCCCTGAATAGTTTAATTGTATTTCTGAACATTAGAAACTAGTACGGAGGTGTGTGTGAAGCAAAATGTTTGGGACACACTATCGGCAATGACAGCGTTGTTTGGGCAAAACGGAACTTCTCAAACAACGCTCACACTGTTGCTTGGGCCTTAAAGAGTTAAGAGTTCATTTATATAAATTCTTTCCCCTTGTGGGTTCGGGCCCCATTCTAGGGGTAAAAAGAATAGACCCACTGCCTCACTAACAAGCATCTTGTACAAGGCCACTAATTAGAGGAGATTCCTTTGAAGTCAGAGGGCATCTGCCTAAGAGGCAAGGAAACAACGGTTTGCACACAAATAACCTACTAAAAGACCACCTCCCCTGTGTGGGTTCCGGGGCCCCATTGTGGGGAAAACAAGAATAGACCCACTGCCTCCCCAAAAGCATGTTGTAAGAGTCAACTAATTGGGGAGCTTCCTTTGAAGACGGAGTGCGTCTGCCGGAGAGGCAAGGAACCAACAGTCTGTATTCAAGAGAATGAGATCTGTAAAACTGATGCACACGCAACACTCAGGTTCTGGAGCAGGACTGCAGTTCAGTAGTGGACGAGCAACCAGAACCTTCCGCCAGAGTTTACAGCTGGTGAACGCGAAGAAGAAGAAGAAGAAGACCGCCTAAGCGAGGCCGCAGAACCCAGAATGAACTTAGTTTGCTAGTCAATACAGCATGAGTGTAATTATTAAATTTAAAAAAGCGTTTAAAAAAAATGTAATGATAGATAGATAAATACTTTCAGAGATCTATGCTGTAGATCACACACGCTTCCTGTATTTTGTGTGTTTATTATAAATGAAGTGATATCTCTCAAACCAAGACAAATACACAGGTTACATTTGCAGGTGACTAATTAGTGGTTTACTTTGAAATCAGAGTGCATTAGCCTGAGAGGCAAGGAACCAACAGTCTGCATACTAATAAGCCATATCTGTGAAATGGATGTGGATGCAAAACTCAAGTTCTGGAACAAGACCAAAGTCCAGAAATGGATTAACAGTCCAGAACTTTCTGCCAGAGTTTACAGACAGTGAATGCTGAGAAGAAGAAGAAGAAGAAGAAGAAGAAGAAGAAGAAGAAGAAGAACAAGAAGAAGAACAAGAACAAGAAGAAGAACAAGAACAAGAAGAAGTAAGAGGAGGAGGAAGAGGAGGAAAAGGAGAATAATAATAAAAATAAAAATAATATTAATAATTTAAAACAAACATGGGTTTCTAAATGGTAGATCTTTGTGCTAGGAGGTATTTGGGATCCTGATTTAATACTGAAAGGCAAGATATTGTCACACTCCCTGTGTGGGTTCTAGGATCCCAGGACTGTACCTGGTACCCACTCAAGGCTGGGTCCACCTGAGAGCCAAGGTCATTTTTAAATAAAGAGTCTGGCTTTTCCTCAAATAAATTAGTGAGATAAAAGTTAAAACAACATGGGATGGGCAGATGTAAGGAAAACTTATCATGTATGGAATTATAATGTTCTGTTATTACACTCAACGTCACTGCACATTGGGCATTCCCGTGTATGCTAAGTCCTCCAATGCAGCAGCCACTTCAAGGTACTTCTACTTAATTGTTCCCATGAGAGTTGGTTACAATGTCTCAGATCTCGGCCTCGAAGACAGCATAGATGTGCTTCACCATGCTTTACTCCTATGTCATGCAATCGTGTTAGTGTCAGAGATTCATCACTATCCACTAGGCCAGTCTATAAAGTGTTGATGATATCTGCTCTGTCCATGCTTCTTCCCACATATGTTGGTTTATTGCTCGCCATTTGGTCTTCTCGCTCATTACCATTTACGCCTGCATGACCAGGTGTGTAAATCCAGGTGAGAGAGGTGAAGTGTGATTTTTGAATTATAACAAACTCACTGTAAATTGCTTGGTATTGAAAGAGTTGATAACTTGCTTCTGATGGTCATATTCTCTTGTTATGTTGCCGTGTTTTTTTTCCTCCTGTAGGTAAAAATAACAAATGATGTCTACCGGCAGCCATTTGGGATCCGAACCATCAGGGTCACCAACAATCAGTTCCTAATCAATGAGAAACCTTTCTACTGTCACGGGGTGGCTAAACATGAGGATGCAGACGTAGGTGCCTCACAGCGAGGGTGTTAATCTATTCTAGTTGTCATGTTTGTGGTGTAGTGGCTAGAACCTTGTTTGTGAATCAGAAGGTTGTGGGTTCGGGTTCTGATGGAGCAGGACTCTTCCAAAATGACTTTGGTTCCCAGGTCAAGCCAGCCTTGTGTAGGTAAAGCAGATACAATTTCTGGGAAGTAAAGGCGGCTGGCATGATGTTAACCCACCAAGTGTAATGAAACATAGGCAGAAAGGGGTTAAATGAATAAAGCATTCATCTCAGATCAGCATAAAGGCACGCCTATCCCTCACTGGTTGGTATGACAGAAAACAGTGATTAGAAAGCTGGCCGACCAGCGATACAGATAAAACCAGATGCACTGTGACCAGTTGAATAGATACGTTTATCCAAACGTGACCACCAGAGACAGATGACAGGGGAGTGATTGAGAACCCACGCTGATAGAGTAGGAATCGCGGGAATGAGTAGGAGGGGACAGTTAGTGGCGAGCGGCTGGAGGGAGCAGACAAGACAGTTAGTAGCGAGCCACTTGAGAGAACAGTTGGAAAAACTAGAGATGTGCTTCGTTAGAAGGTATATATTAAACTTGGAGTTTAGCTAGAACAGTGATTAAGGAACTCATAGAGAGACATAAGAATAGCCAGTAACAAGATAATGAAGTGTTCCTATACTATTGGTTATTGAAATGATTCATCCTGTTTGTCTTGACAATACTGTTAATAAACAAACTCTTGTGTAATTGTTACATCACTGGCCTTGTTCTTTAACACGATTCAAGAGAGCTATGAACTATATCCATAATACACTATGTCCGAATTAGGCACATCTATTTCTTGGGGGATGTGAAGACACAACTGTGTCACACAAGTGCCAATTGGTTTATAAAATATATATCTAGCCCTATGTGCCCTGTATGCCTGAAGGCCTAAAAAAGGGTCCTTTACTTTTTTGTTTTACTTTTAGTTGTCTTGTTTGATCTAACAGTTTGTATGTCTTTATCAGTGTCCTTGTATGGGTTTCGGAGCCCCATGTTTGGAGAGAAAAAAAAGAATAGACCCATGCTCATTAATTAGTATGTCATATATGGTGACTAAGTAAAGACTGTGTTTGGTTGAAAGGCTCACATGTCATAGCCTAGCTGTAAACCATAGCACAACGTGCCAACAGTCCTTTTAAGAGTGAAAACAGAAGAAGTATTTGAACTATGCACTGGCTGCTGTGAAGGGGGAAAAACCATTTATGGGAATGCTTGCAGTGCTGTCAGTCTCAAGTCTTTTTGAACTCTTAATGAAAATGTGAAACTGAATTTCAAAAAAGTTTCATAGCACACATTCAGACTGGGAAATATGTCCATACATGTCCATAGGTGCTCAGATCCTCCCCTCAGTATGAACCCCAACATCCGATGGCTAATAGTACCAGTTCTATGTTGATTAACAAGTCTTCTGGCATGTCTGGTGTGTGTCTCGTTTTTTGCTATGCCGATCTTAATTCCCAAGTCTGCCATTCTGGTGAGTGATGTGGATTCACTGCCACCAAAGTCCTCTATCCTTCCCATTTCTCCGAGGACATTAATAATATCAGCATGATCCATAGGCTGACCGTTGGTATTGATAGTGAATCCAGCCAACCTGTCAGCTCTTTCATTTCCATCGATGCCTGCGTGTCCCGAAACAAAAATAAAGGTGACTCCACGCACAGTGGACTTCTGTAATGATTCAAGCCATTGTCTTCGCACTGAACCTGCCTGAACCCTCCAGATCATACTCATTGAATCACTGAGTATACATACGCGGGTGTATTTTTGTGTTTCAAGCCAGGCACACGCTTGCGTCACTGCCATCCCCTCCATCGTCATGCTGCTGGTTGTCATGGAGAAGGCCCCGTTGGCTTCTTTGACTGTTGTGTTGTATCTATAGCAAGTAAGGGACCCTGCTCATGATGTTTGTGGATTGGGCATATGATATTAGATCTGGGTGCCAAGATCAGTTTGGAAAAAATGTTTGGATTTGAACATACTACCTTCAGGCTGGAGGCAAGCACCACACTGTTCACTGGCTCCTACAGGTTCTTTTCATGCATCATTTTACGACCATGTTTGTGCAGAACCAGCCAGTCTGTCTGACTATTCTAGACCAAATAGAACATTTCTGAAGCCCTTTTTCTATTTTTCCAGTTGAGAGGCAAAGGCTTGGACTATACCCTGATCTCCAAAGACTTCAACATGTTAAGATGGCTGGGGGTCAACTGTATACGGACATCCCACTACCCCTACGCTGAGGAGATTCTGGAGCTGGCGGATAGGCAAGGGGTGGCGGTCATCAATGAGAGCCCTGGCGTTGGCATCAGAAAAATGTAAGTTTTTTTAATGTTTGATTTTTATATGAAAAGCTACACACATCCATCCATCCATTTATTTGAAGAAAAAAAAATCAACCACTTTCATCATACTGCAAGCAGTATCGGTTGTAGTTATGGTCTAGTTGCTTTGTTAATTGCACTAAAACTAATGACTTGGACCGTACTCTAGTACCTGTGAGGGTACCACAACATCCACCCAACTTGTTAACACCTCTCTCCAGCCTTTTACTTCCACTGATCACATTTAAAATGTTCACTTCATCACTACTTTATAAGAGCAATGCCTGCTTCATTTTTTTTCTTCTGCAAATAATTCCGAGCAGTACAGGTAAGTATTGCATGCTTTATACAATTATGTCATTTATTATTGTTGCGCTCTATTTGTTTACAGAATATATAATGTAGTAATTTCATTTGTGTGTGTTTTGTTTCTTCTTATTTTTTTCTTCTAGTTTATGGTCAACAGTGAATTAGGTGCATGACCAGAGATTGGTGAAGAAGACTGATGTTGTTATTTCAGTCTGTTTTCTAATTGTAGTTTTACTATGTTGTTATTTCAGTCTATGTTCTAGTTGTAGCTTTACTAAAGTTATTTCAGTCTATTTCCTAGTTGTAGCTTTACTGATGTTATTTCAGTCTATGTTCTAGTTGTAACTTTACTGATGTTATTTCAGTCTATGTTCTAGTTGTAGCTTTACTGATGTTATTTCAGTCTATGTCCTAGTTGTAGCTTTACTAATTTTATTTCAGTCTATGTCCTAGTTGTAGCTTTACTGATGTTATTTCAGTCTGTGTTCTAGTTTTAGCTGTACTGATGTTATTTCAGTCTATGTCCTAGTTGTAGCTTTACTAATGGTATTTCAGTCTATGTCCTATTTGTAGCTTTACTGATGTTATTTCAGTCTATGTTCTAGTTGTAGCTTTACTGATGTTATTTCAGTCTATGTCCTAGTTGCAGCTTTACTGATGTTATTTCAGTCTATGTCCTATTTGTAGCTTTACTGATGTTATTTCAGTCTATGTTCTAGTTGTAGCTTTACTGATGTTATTTCAGTCTATGTCCTAGTTGCGGCTTTACTGATGTTATTTCAGTCTATGTCTTAGTTGTTGCTTTACTGATGTTATTTCAGTCTATGTTCTAGTTGTAGCTTTACTGATGTTATTTCAGTCTATGTCCTAGTTGTGGCTTTACTCATGTTATTTCAGTCTATGTCCTAGTTGTAGCTTTACAAATGGTATTTCAGTCTATGTCCTAGTTGTAGCTTCACTGATGTTATTTCAGTCTATGTTCTAGTTGTAGCTTTACTAATGTTATTTCAGTCTATGTCCTAGTTGTAGCTTTACTAATGTTATTTCAGTCTATGTCCTAGTTGTAGCTTTACTAATGTTATTTCAGTCTATGTCATCGTTGTAACTTTACTGAAATTGTTATTTGATCTATTTTCTAGCTATAGTTTTATTGATATTGCTGTTTCAGTTATTGTTGCAGGTATAGTTTATTGATGTTTTTTTTAAAAGCACATTTTGTTATAGCCTTACTAAATGTACTTCCATCTGTGTATTTAGTGGGAACTTTGGCAACATTTCCCTTCAGCACCACATTGAGGTCATGTCTGAGATGATCCGCCGGGACAAGAACAAACCCTCAGTCATCATGTGGTCTGTAGCCAATGAGCCCAGCTCCAGTTATAAAGGTTCTGTACCTTATTTTAAGTAAGTATAATTCTTTTTGTTGTTGCCAAATCCTGTCTTTATCGTTGACACCTTTCCGTCTTTCCAGATCTTCTTTTTTTTTCCTTTCATTTGCTTGAAATAGATTATCTATATCTGCAATGCTGTCTCTAGTATGGACATCAATGTCTTTTGTAATTCACTAAGTAACCCGTAGAGTTTGGCCTGCACCAGTGTTTCTCCTGACCCAAAGTTTTCCCTGGATGTGTTGTGTTTGGGACAGTCTTGGATGACGTGATCTGTTCTCTCAGGTTCCAGTCCACATGTGCACGTGGCTAATTCACTGATTTAAAATGTGTGTGTTTATGGCTACGAAGTCGATTGTGTCCTGTTCTAAGGCGTAGAATAATAACTTGCTCATCTATCTATAATATGGTAATCGTCTTGTTCCAGTTTTGGTGGTTTTCTGATTGATTTGATTTTTCTCTTCTTCTGTTGATAAGAGACCGGTACTTCAGGTTGTTTTTCATTTGTACCTCCCTTAGCTAGTTTGTTAGCTTTTTCATTTCCAGGAACTGCACAGTGGGATGATATCCATTCTTTATTTACCTTACACCGGTTGCCTAGTTTGGAGTTTTTTTTCTCCAGATGATAATGTTATATTGTATCACAGAAGGCAGGGATGTCACAGTCATTTAAAGACAGGGATGAAGTTTGTTCTCTCCATAACACAAAGCCAGGGCAGTATTGTAGAGACCGTGTGTTGCCAATGCAGCAAGATCCTTCTCTTGACTGCCTTGTTTACTCCAGGCAAAGGTAACACCAATATATTCACAACAAAGCATGCTGCAGAAACTGCTGGATCAGGAAAGCAGTGTTCTGTCTGTTCTTCTGGAGCTCATCTCTTAGAGCAGAGGCCAACCAAGGCTAAGGGCCTGTTCTGCTCTGCCAGAAGTTTACATTTTCCGACTGCAATCTCCTTTTTTTAATTGTGTACTCACTCCTTTAGACTCATCATCATCATCATCATCATCATCATCAAGTTATCCACATGTGGGTTCCAGGGCCCTATTGTGGGGGAAAGCATGTCAAAAGAGTTGTCTAATTGCCAGCTTCCTTCAAAATCGTATTGCATCTGCCTGATTGGCAATGAACCAGCAGTTTGCATACAAATGAGTCAGTTCTGTAAAACAGATGTATACACAACACTCAGGTTCTGGAACATGACTGCAGTCCAGAAGTGGAAGAACAACCAGAACTTTCCGCTAGAGTTTACAGCTGGTGAACGCGAAGAAGAAGAAAGAGTCATCAAGTCAAGTTGTAAGACTTGACAGATCACCCCTGTCATCACAACCTGTCTAACAGATTCTAGATCCTCTGCTTATTTCCCAGTCTCATGTATTTTCAGTGTCTTGTCTTCACTCTTGTGTTGGTTAGTGCTTGTCTTATCTTCCTGTTACTTTACCTTCTATTACTTTCACTTGTTATCGCAAGTTCTTCTCTTTATCATTGCCATCTTTGTGTCTTTACATTAACATTGTAGTACAGAAAGTAGAGCTGGTGAATTTTACATAAACTAAGTCATGAGAAGTGACAGAATGAACATTGAGGTTAGAAAATCTGTATCAACATACCCAAAACACACCAACTGGACCACCCCCCCCCCCCCCACACACACATACACACACACACACATACATGTAATCTACACAAGTTTCTAACTTGTTAACTAATAAAAATACAACTGATACAGGTTTGTAACAAATAAACTAATGACATGTAATCTACACAAGTTTGTAACAAAGGAACTAATCACCTGTAATCTACACAGGTTTGTAACAAGGGAACTAATTATTTGAATACATCAGAATAATTTGCTGTTGTAACATCTGCAGGTCTGTCATAGAGTTCACCAGGAACACAGACCCAGCACACCGGCCCACAACATTTGTTTGTTCTGAAACATTTGAACTTGACAGAGTGGTGAGTGATCCGCTAGTAAAAGTTGATAGGGTAACATCATCATTTTCTTCTTCTTCATCGTCATTTTCTTCTTCTTTATCATCATTTTCTTCTTCTTCATCATCATCCTATTGGGCCATTATAAGTCACACAGATCTCACCATCTGTTCACTTCATAGGATAGCAATCATCATTATCATCATCATTTTCTTCTTCTTCATCATCATCCTACTGGGCCATTATAAGTCACACAGATCTCACCATCTGTTCACTTCATAGGATAGCAATCATCATTGTTACAAGTGGGGTTGTACCATCGGAATCGAAACTCTTCACTTGCTGCTGAAGATGGGGATTGGTCACTTATGGAAGTGTCCTGAGTGCTGTGATGTCGATTCTTAATTCAACATTCAACGATCAAGAGAGGTCAAGAAATAAGAGAAATATCTGGGCATGCACAGGTAACCACGGTTGATACGACCAGGAATTTGGTGCTGTGTTGGACATATCACAGAGATAAAGAACACAACAGCACAGGCCAGAACTTCCTTTTATAAAAGGAAGAACATTTTGTGCAATAAATCCATGTCACTGAAGGCTAGAAAAAAATTCTCACAGGCTATACAGTGCCAGTTTTTACACACGGCTGTGAAGCCTGGACAATTAATCAACAAGCCAAATAATTTCTTGAAGCCTCAGTGATGTGGTTTTACAGAAGAATCCTTATAATTCCTTCGACAGCTAAGAAAAGCAACGCAGATGTTTTGAAAGAGGTGATTGCTCGAAGACAACGTATCACAAACATCAGAAAGAGACAGTCATAATTTTTTGGTCATTTTATGAGAAGAGGGAAGCTGGAACATGTTGTGACCTCTGGAAAGATCTGTAGAAAGAGAGAAAGAGGAAGACAGCGTGAAAAGATTCTTCACAACCTTTTGTTATGGCATGGAAGGTGTCGCACACAAACTGATTCACGCAGTTGCGGATTGTGGAGAGGCATGATCGTGCATGCCAGTCAGCAAAGCACTTGATGATTGGACACGTCCTGAGAAGAAACCAGCAGAGAATCATCAAACTGGCAGTTCAATGGGAAATAAAGGGATTGAGAAAGTCCCCTCTTCCCCCCCCCCCCCAAAAAAAAAACCTTAAAAGAAAGCTGATGAGAGAGGTTAAAAGTGGACCGGGTTCTGTCCTTGATATTGAAGAGAAGGCACAGGGTAGAACAGAATGGAGGAATAGACTGTGAGCCCTATGTGACATATAATGGCACAACAGGACAAGGATGATGATTTATCATCTTTGTCATCAAGTGCCTTGCCGACCAGCATGGGTGATCATTCCTGTCCACATCTTATGGTCTCCAACAGCATGGATCAGCTTATGTGCTGTCACCCCTCCATGCCATGACAACAAGTTAGTTAGTTGCTTATCTTTTACAAGACGTTGCAGTACCAACCCCAGTATTCTTTGACTGGTTTTTTTTTTCTAGGCAAATTTTACGTTCAGTATTTTGCATTGCTTTCTGAATGTTCAGCTCTCTGTACCACTGTCGAAACCAATGCAAGACAAACCGTCCGCAGCTGGGATTGAGCCCAGCACCCCAGCATATGATGCTCGTTTGCAACACCTAAACCACAGACACTGACACATGACAAAAGGCTGTCAAAAAATCATCTCACATTGTCTGTCTCGCTTTCCACAAATCTGATGGTCACAACATATTCCAATTTCCCTCTTCTCATATTTGTTTGTTTGTTTTGTTTGTTTTAGTATCCAGAAGCCATGAGTTGTCAACCCTTAGGCTCTTTATTATGGATATCGCAACCTTTCGGCTTTGATTCCATTGTAAATACCGTAAATCTGGGAGAAATGTGGCTTTTCTGCCTACCCCCGGGGAGTGAACCCGGACCACAAGGGGTTCGTCACCGCGCAATCTAGTTTAGCCAACTAGGCTAGAGAGCCGGGCTCCTCTTCTCATAACATGATTATAAATGTTTACAGCCTCCTTCTGATGTCTGTGATGAGTTGTCTTGGGGCCCTCGCTTCTTTATCACAAAGGTCTAAACATTCACAGCAGAAAAGCAGAGACGATAAAAGATGTGAAATCATATAACTGTCGAAGCATTAGTATTGAAAAAAAAAAGAATACAAAAAAAAAACAAGATGGGATTTTATATCACTAGAGCATTTATTTATGAATGTTGAATAAATTTAAACATTGTAAAAAAAAATTAGAAAGAGTTTTTTAAACTCTCAAGTGAAAACAGTACAGTTGAAACGAGAATATAAACATTCTAGGTAGACACTCATTCTGTGGCTCCTGTTTTTTTTTTTTTTTTTTTTCTAAAATCTTTCTGCTCTGATTTTTCTCTTATTAAAGATTGACACCTGGTGACCCAAAAGGCTACTGTTCAGATAAGAATCCAATAGGAGAAAATCCAAGAAAACCTATTCAGCCATATGACACATTTATCTAACACCGTCATCAATCGGGAGGAATGTTCTCCAGAATGTGATAATGACTGGCAAGATTGAAGGAAAGAGAGCAAGACGAAGGCAAAGACTTAAAGCCTGAATGACCTGGTCATGTGAAAAGGGTGAGAGCAATAACACTGACCTGATCCGTGATTCTGGCAATCATGAGGGATGGCTAGACATGATAGGTAATGTTTATCAGCACAGCACATAATGATGATTATGATACTGGGAAAGAAGATGGTTACCAAGTGACCAGCTGTCCAATGTAGATCGTTTCATTGGGATCACAGTTTCTTCCTGCAGTACTTACCACAGTTTTACTGAAGTTAGTCAGTTAATCAACAGATTATCCTCATAGCACATCAGACAAGTCCATAAGCTCTCAGATCCCATCTTCAGCATATCCCTCAGTGTGTGGCGACTGATAACACAAGTTCTGTATTGGTATACTGTTCTCTTTTTTTGACTACATGTATAGTGTTCATGTTTGACAACATCTCTTTTGACCTGAAGTTCCTGTAGTCTTCTGAGTGTTGCAAATTCAACGTTGTCTCCTGCCTCATCTTCTTTTCCTGCCTCCCTGAGAGCACTGAAAATATCAGCTTAGTCCATTGCTTTTCCTGTAGCTACCGTAGGCCTGCCAGCAAGCCAATCCGCTCGTTCATTCCCTCTTACCCCCAGAGCGTCTTGGCACAAAAATGAAACAGATTCTTATCAGACCAGATTTTCTCTGCGACGCCAAACATTATTTTGTTCAAATCCATCCTGTCTCTCTCTCTCTTCTTAAGCATGTTCATGGAATAACTTAGAAAGCACGCTTGGGAAAAATTTGGTGTCTCTAGCCACATCATTGCTTTTGTTACTGCCATCACCTCCATAGTCAGACTACTTGTAGTGGAGGCAAAAGCCCCACTATTTTGTTTTACAGTTTTCCCTCGAACCAGAATCATTAAAGCCCATGAGAGTTGGGCTACTTTAGTCCCAGTCATTGACAGTAGATTATCACTGGAATAATCAAGCAGCAAGACACAACACAATAACATGTTTTTCAAAGAGACTAATTATACGGTGGAAGTGACCACTAGGAATGATTCTTTTTCTTTAGCATTCTGAGACCTTGAGGTTCAATGCTGCAGATATCGCCCAGCTCCATTCATCTCTCTGCTTGACCTTCTTCAGTATTCCCAGAACTTGAGGTTCAATGCTGCAGATATCGCCCAGCTCCATTCATCTCTCTGCTTGACCTTCTTCAGTATTCCCAGAACTTGAGGTTCATTGCTGCAGATAAAACCAGCCTCCATTCATCTCTCTGGTTGGCCTTCTCTTTCCAGTTGGTGACACCAAGTGTTTGGAGGTCTGGCGATATTATCTATCCATTGTCTTTTTGGTCTGCCTCATGGTCTACGACCATTCATCTCCCTTGGGCATACAGTTTTTCCCTTTCTGTCATCTGACATTCTCTCAATATGCCCCAGCCATTTCAGTCTATTAGCTCTCTCATGATGCTATTATCAGTGGTGATTTAAACAGATTATGAATTTCATTGTTGCTTCTCACTCTCAATTCCCCTCTGTTTGCATCTTTAATGGGTCCAAAGATTCACCGTAATACTCTGTTTTCAAAAATTCCTCTCCCACTCTGCATACATGTCTAAATTATTGTAACTGTGACTGATCCACTCAGTTTGTAAGGCCTGGGTTTCAAGATCATGATGTATTGTCTGCTTGCAAAATGTGTCCCTTCATGTCACTTGGACCACCTTTCTCAGATAATCTGTTTTTGAGGCCTAAAGCTGGCTTCTATGAGCTGTTGTCATTGCCCATGACTTACATCTTTAGGTCGAGGCTGGTATGTAAGTAGAGCGGGATACAGCCATTTTTGTCCTATTGCTAATTTCCCTCTTGATCTCTATTTTATTATCTTAATGAAAATGTAAACAGTGCAAGAACACATTGCTAGCTGACTGCGATCCACCTGAAAAGGCAAATCATATACAGCATGTTGACTGTTGCTGAAGCACCTATCACCGGTTTCAGAACCCCTTTGTGGATGTCATCTGCATCAATCGTTACTACGCCTGGTACCAAGACCCAGGACACCTGGAGGTCATCCAGTTGCAGCTTCAGCGAGAGTTTGCCGGGTTTAGGAACCTCTACGATAAACCCATCATCGTCACAGAATATGGAGCCGACACATTGCCAGGTCTTCATACGGTAAGTACCTGTTTCTCTTCGTTTTTTCAGACCCCTTCTTGCACCACTGTTGACTTCTGGTAAATTTGGTGGATAGGCAGGCTTACTGTTTTTGTGGCAAGTTTTTGCTTCTGATGGTAGTTAGCCATTGCATTTTTCTCCACATATAAACTTTAAAGGATATAGTTCAACCACCCACTTCCTTATCTGAGTGCATGGTGTGACACTGTGAGCCGCAGATTTCATTTATAATTATTTCTGACTGTGCCCAACAGTGTTTGTGTTTTGAACTTCAGATTAAGAAAATAATGAATGGCCTATTGCTAGAGAACTGGCGGTGCCTTATGCGAATAATTGCATGTGCGACTACTGATCCGCTATGACAACTGCTGCTTCCATCAACAATGAACTGCACTTCTAGGGCCATATTTTTTTGTGCTGATACTTCTGATGGCTAGTTTGTGCATTAAATACATGTGTATGTTGTTGGCTTTGCTGAGACCGTCACGTTACATCTCACTGTAGCCTAGAAGGTAACCAGATAGTAGACAAATTGGCTAGAAGCAGCCGTGACTTGGTAGAAGCAAACTATGACATAACATATCAGGAGACCAAGACTTGAATAAAACCCAGTATCCAAGAAAGTTGACTGGATACCCACACCAGATATTCTCCCCAAGACTTGCTTGATTGCCGCTTCACAAAAGAAAGACAGTGTATGAAATTCAGACTGTTAGGTCCTATAATCCTGTCATTTGATCTCACCCAGGAGCCGTCTGTTATGTTCACCGAGGATTTTCAGGTGGAGTTTCTGGAGGAGTATCACAAGGAGTTTGACAAGGCCAGGCGACAGTTTCTCGTTGGAGAGATGGTGTGGAACTTTGCCGATTTTATGACAATTGAAGGTAATTATCACTTTAAATAATGCTGACACAAAGAAGACATAGCACAATTGATTCCCTGGCATATTTTGCTGATATGCCAGCTGATAAACTGTGCAATGAATAGTTTTTATCCACATTATTCAAATTTACTACGGGGAAAACTTTGTTTTTAATTAAAAATTTTACTAGCCTGATAAATAATTACATGGGTATTGAATGATACTCTGCATGGTCTCGAGGTATGGTGTCCGCCTTAAGTGCTAGAGGTCCCGGGTTCAGGCCCCTGAAGGCTGGGATTTATTTTGTTCACGTGGACTTCTAGTAATTTTCCCTGCTGTCTGTTTATAGTGAGATTGGACGCCCGTGTGTATTGTTGTGCACGTAAAAAATGTCTGGGCACTTGGAAATCGAAAAGAGTAGCCTAACGGCCCTATCTGGGCAAAATTTTAAGTTAAAAATCTACCCAAAAAGTATTTAAGGATCCTTGCCGGTGCAACAGAGTTCATGCACTGAGCTGAGATTTTTTGGACTCAGACTTGAGTTAGAAGAAGAACAAAGCACTTATGGGTTACTACCCGTGGGCCATGATCTTGATCCGTTGTTCAAATTCAAACTTTAAACTCTTTGTGAGGAAAGTATAAAGTTATCATTTATAGAATTGGACTTTTACTTGGTAAACACTACTAAAAACTACAACAGTAATCCCTCTTAAGATATTGCCAGTGTGTTTATGGACATGTTTTATCCAAAGATAAATCTGCTATGCCTTTTAGGGCTTTAACCTCTTTACCTGGAGTCATCAATATTTGTGCCGTGCCATCTGGTATACATTCATGGAAAACCCACATTTATATCACACACTTGAGGTTTTTTTGGGGGGGGGGGGGGGGGGGGTGGGGGGGGGGGGGGGGGGGGTGGGAGGGCCAACCAACAAGCCTAGTAAAGAGCACTGGAATATACGCAGCATTTAGGAGGCCCTGGAATGATTATATTTACTCAAAATAGCATTTGGGGATTTAATTTTGGAAACAAATTTGCTTTTCTTATTATTTGCCTTCAGTCACATAGCTACCGAGTCAAATTTTTTTTTTAAATTGATTTTTTCACCAACCCTGTGCCCCTTGACATCAGTTTGATCTGTTGACCTGAATGACTTGACTATTTGACAGGTACAACACGGGTGGTGGGCAACAAAAAGGGCCTGCTGACCAGACAGAGGCAGCCCAAAGCAGCAGCACACATCATCAGAAAGCGGTACCATGGTATTGTTAATGGAGACAACGACACCTGCAGTTACAGCCATTCATCAAAGTATTCTACAAGTCCACACACATATCATTAGTCCATTGATGGGAGTCCACTGGGTACATTATCAAAGCACACATTTTTAACTGCAATGATTTATTCTTGATTTTTTTATTTTTTTATTATCCCGTTTAAGACTTCTCTGTCAGATGACAGAAGTAAAAACTGTATACACAAGGAAGATGAATGGCCGTAGACCACGAGGCAGACCAAGAAGATGATGGAGAGATAAAAGACCTGCAAACACTTGGTGTCACCATCTGGAAAGAGAAGGCCAACTAGAGAACAAACAAACAAACCTTTTTTTTTCATAGGGTCACAATGGCGGCGGGTGATATCTGCAGCAATAAACCTCAGAGGCTTGGAATGCTGGAGAAGAAGAAGAGAAAGACGTCTCTGTATATTTTGCTTTTTTTAAATTTTTTTTTTAATGAAGCTGGAAATATTCACATAAATAAATGGCACAGAGTTGGGGGGGGGGGGGGGGGGGGGGGGGGGGGGGCCTTGCAGCGCTAGAGACATTATATATAGTAAACAAACAGATAATATATTGATCAACACTCATTGAAAGATAGAAGGAGACACTGTGCCAATCAATACACTGTCTGTTTATTGTAAATAATTGAAATATTCATTATCTTTGTGGTGACATGAAAGAACTTGTCATCACTTGCTCTATAGTTAAGTTAGTTGCTTATCCTTTACAGGACGTTGCAAAACCAACCAGAGCATTTTTTAGTTGTTGTGGTTTTCTAAGCAAATTTACAAATAAATAGTTTGCCATTGCTTTCTGGATGATTGGCTTCTCAATAGAACTGTTAAAATCAATGCAAGGTGCAAGTCCCACAGCTGGGATGGAACCTGGCACCCCAGCATTACGAAGCGCTATATAGCTGCTTTTTGTAAACATCAGCCTCATTACAGGTTGTGCCAAAAGTATTCTTTCACCCTGTGTTGGCAATATGTACCTCTCTTTATTACCTATGTCATGAAAAGATTTCAAACCAGATGAAAAGTAGAAATTGTCAAAGACTTATCACTCTACATTAAACAGGTAATTAAATACAATAATATGGATCATCAGTAAGAGCGTTCCTGACAGTACAGACCCTTGTGCACACAACACACCCACAGCTGGATGAGTTCTAAAGGGATCTTTATTGGACACTCAGTGTGACAGCATATATTAGAATGATCTGCCTTTTCGCCCCAAACCTGGCTGCTCCAGAGAGCTGTTCACAATGGGTCCCCCTTTTTGTATGACTACAGTTCAAACCAACATCCTGGTCTCATGCGGCCATTCTCACAATACCAGAGAAGTCGCAGCTCGGACACAATCGCTAAGACCTGCAGGAGGTGATGAAAAGACAATTGTGCCACACTGGCTGTCGCTCAAGAGTGATGCCTCATCTACGGAGTCGGCTGCTAAAAACTTATGCTGATACTGTAATGACCTATTAGTCATCATCACCATTAGTTATCGTTATGCCAAGTGGCACATTAGACTTTAGAGAGGACTTTCCTTGCGTTTCTGTCCTGTGCAATCTTCAGTGCAGTTTTCCATGTCAAAGATGCCGCACTCAGGTCACTTTCCTTCGTTCGTCTCCATGTTGTTTTTGGGCGCCCCTGTTTTCTCTTTCCCTCTGGTATCCAAGTGAGAGCTGTTTTGGCAGGTATATCAGGATTCATTCTTATAATGTGGCCAAGCCATTTCCATCTTCTCTTGGTTATCATACTGTCTAGAGTTTCTTGGTTTTTGACTTGATGTGGTTTAGGTTTGAGATTGTATCTGGCCAGAAAATTTTGATATTCTACGTAGACATGTGTGGTGGAAGGTGGATAGCTTGTGTGCATCTTTTTTCATGATTCTGCAGCATTCTGCCCGATAAAGAAGAACTGGCAAAATGATTCTCTTGTAGAGTCCGATTTTCGTTTCTTTGCAGTAACTGTTGGATTTCCAGATTTGCCTCATCCTTCCAAAAAGCATCTCTAGATTGGTTCAGGCCTGACTGTATGTCTTCCTCTGTCACTCCCAGTGGGGACACCACACTGCCAAGATATGGGAAATGTTCTACATTTTCAAGAGTTTGGTTATTTATGGTCTTTGGTTGTTGGTTTGGACTGTTTGTCACGACCTTGGTTTTCCTTGTATTTATTCTCAGTCCCGCCATTTCTGCTGTGCTGTGTAGTCTGTTACTTTTTTCTGTGCAATATATCAAACAAACATCTGAGAAAACTGGTCAGTCGTCCACCAAATTCCAAGTCACTCTGACTTCCCATGTGAATGTTGCAGCTATAGAGCCTTCATCTTCACATTACATAAAAGTACAATACCACACACGCAAAATTACTTAACTGAAGTATCTCCAAGAGAAATCACATGTATGTCTGGAAAGTTGAATCTCCCTAGTGTATTGCAGTAAAATAGAACGCAGTGTATTACAACTGCTTTGGATTCCTAAACCATAAGAACTCTGCTCCTCTTTATTCTCAGATTCACAAGTATCTTGTTGCTACACACAAAACATGTGTTTGCCACTTTGTTCCCCTATGATTTTGTTAAGTTTATAATATTAGACCATTCAGCTACAACAATTGTATTTAGGTAACAACTGTGATGCTTCAATGATTTAAAAACCCCACTGTTCATGAATTTTATCCATTTATGTTATTTAGGAATTAACTTTTTAGGTATCGCTTTCAGGAATTATTCACTCATTTGTGCTGGAGAGTTAGCGTATAATGTTACACCATCCAGCATAAGAATGCATCTTTATTGATTGAGGAAGGAAGTGGAGAACGTGTGGGAATGTCCCGAGGTCAGGGACTTCTGTTTCAGTAACCAATGATTATTACAGGTCCTCTAGAAACAACACATGTGGACCTGGGGATGACGAGGTCACCACACAAATGAGGCTGCAAAATGTTCCAAGAAATTTGGAAGAAAAATCTTTGCCTTTTTCTCAATGAAGGTAGGCTAGGTGCCACTGTTGTTTTTAGGACTGTTATGTGATAAGAATCGGCTTCTGTGGCTTTGGCGTTGCGAACGAGCTTCGTAATGCCGGTGTGTTGGGTTCGATCCCAGCTGCAGACTTTGCGTTGGTTTCGACTGTAGTACCAAGAAGCCGACCATCCAGAATGCAATTTGCCTAGAAAAACCATAACAGCCGAAAAAATGCTGGGGTTGCTTCTGCAACGTTCTGTAAAGGATGTGCAACTAACTATGTGATATAACCCCAAAATGCAGGTGTTCAAGGTAGCGAGCGTGCAGACTATCTTGCTGACACGCAATTGCTATGGCTGGTCCAGTATTGGGCAGAACTGATGTTATCAATTCCATGCGCTGCACTTACCGTACCGAGGAGCACGCCAAAACATATGACTCCGTATCCGTGTCTAAACTGATAGACACGGGGGTGCAGCCTGGAGCTGCAAGAAATTAACATTTCATTAAGAGGACAAGACGTTTCATTAACCAACACAGAACAGGCGTCATCAGTCGTTTTACACTTGTGGAGCCTTTGAGGGGGACATCGGAGCACCTATGGATCTCTTCGGAGTGCTTTGATGATAATCCTTTCTAATCACTAATAACATAAAATTGTTTCCATTGCACGACTCTTGTACCTTTGGCGGAAATTCACGAGAACGGGTTTTTATTCATTCACTACGAAGAATGAACCATAGTACTTGAGGATCTAAGCCATACTTTGAATAACAGACTAACCCGGAAAATAAATGCCCAGAGAAGTCAGATGTGTCGGCCGAGGAGCAAATGTCATAGCTATGTTGTAATTCCTTGGAAGAACGAGGGAGAAGAAAAAGAAGTATACATTCTGATAAATGTCTGTAAACTAGAAACATAATGAATAAATGGAAGTTCTTGCTAGTGTTTTTGTTTATCATTATCATCCTTTGTGTGCCACTAGACATCACGCAGGGCTAGCATTCGATTCCTTCACTTGAACTTACGTGCAACTTTATCGATTTCTGACACGGAATTCAGAACAGGATCTTTTTGTCTGTCGTAATAATGTTCTTCTTTATGTTTCCCTCGGACGTTATCTTTTTCTCTCTCTCAGACCATTTGTTTCCCATTTCAGTGCCTGTTGTGTAGTTATTTGCTCATTTCGTCTCAGATTGTGACCAGTATATCTCCACCTTTTTTGTATTATTTTTTTGATACAGGTATTTGTCTAGACATTTCTCTGATCTCCGTATTCTTTTTTGGATTCATTCCACCCGTTTTATGTGCATTATTTTTCTCAGACATTTACTGTATTTTCAAATGCCTTTAACTTTCGTTCCATATCTTTGGTAGTTCTCCGACTTTTGCTGGCATATGTTATATCTAATATAATTTTTTGTTAAAGTGAAGAACACTTTTCCACGCCTTTAGGCATATAGGGCTAGACCTATATTGTTTATAGACCGAACGACACAGGATGCATGATGTGTGTCAGCATCACGCCGGCTGCCTCTACTTCCCCGGACTGCACCCAGTACCCACTCAAGGCTAAGTCTACCTGAGAGTCAAGGTCACTTTTGAAAAAAGCCTGGCTCTGCCAGGAAGCGAACCCACGACTTTCCTATCTGCACGTGAGCGTCTAGCCGCTACGCCACGGCGACTCTTAAAATAACATTATACATGGAGATTTGTAGTTTGGTCTTAAAGCTGTGTAACTTGGAGCTCTATCTAGTGCTACACCTATCTATTATATACCACTTAGCATCATGCCGGTCGCCTCATGTGACTTTACATTGTGTCTATTTTGGCCTCTGTCACCCTGGGAGACAATGTTATTTTTTTAAATCCAATTTTATGTGGAGTTGAACTCATGACCTTCAGGTCCGCAGTGAGAGATACGGTCAGCTTTTCTTTAAAAGGTTCACCATCATCCGTCTTCTTCTATGTCATCGTCTCCTCCTCCTCCCCCTCCTCCTTCTTCTTCTTCTTCTTCTTCTTCTTCTTCTTCTTCTTCTTCTTCTTCTTCTTCTTCTTCTTCTTCTTCTTCTTCTTCTTCTTCTTCTTCTTCTTCTTCTTCTTCTTTTCCTTCTTATCCCTCTCTTCTGTGTTTATCCGAAGATATAAATGCGTTGTGCCCGTTTACAATATGGTCAGATATTTGCTTGCGCATTTCGGCTGACACATCCAACGTCTGCAAGCTTTTGTTTTCAGTGTTAACCTTTCCGGGGATGCAGATTTTAACACATGAAATTTAAGTCAGCAGACAAGATAATAACCGTCATAATAACTCTCATCTTTATATATATATATATATATATATATATATATATATATATATATATATATATATATATATATATATATATACACACACATATATATACATATACATATATATATATATATATATATATATATATATATATATATATATATATATATATATATATATATATATATATATATATATATATGCGCGCGCGTGTGTGTGTATCTTTCATGTGTAAACGCTTTATCACAGCATGAATGTGTCCACACTATAGCTTACCACTTCTCTACTGCCTAATTCAATACTGCCGCCCTTTTCAGGGTGACATTTTTCGTTATTTGAAGCTCTACTCTGGCTCTTCCTGGGGCCGCATAGCCAGGCCATAAATATGGCCTAAAGGCTGAACGCGGTTTCTGGGACCTCTCCACGGTGATCCTCACCCACATGGTGGCACATTGTGTCATCGGGTGTTTATCGCTTGTGTGATTTCCTGGTGGGGTAGAAAGTTAATCAGTCGTTTCTCTAGTGCCATAGAATGGATCCCTCCATGTTTGCCGTCTACCAAAAGCACCGGAATATGAAGACTTAAGTCACCAAAGGTCCCCCCCCCCCCCGCCCTAGAAATCTTTTAGAGTTCACTGAGCGTCCCCTCCCCCACCTCTGTACAAACTAAAAATAGGCCCACTGGCAGCGGCCGTGGTCGAGCGGCTAGACGCTTGCCTGCGGATTCGCAGGTCGTAGGTTCAAATCCACACATTGCTGGGTGTCTTTCTTCGAAGTTGACCTTGCCTTTCAGGTTGACCTAGCCTTAAAATGGTACCGGGTAAAGACCTGGAAAGTAAAGGAGGCCGGCGTGATGCTGACCACAACACCCACTGGTCTATACAAATATGAGGCTAGCCTTAAACGCCCCCAGCGCCACTGCCGTGTAAGGGGACCTTTGCTTTATTGTAAGCCATCCACGGCGTTCGTGGCTTAGGCTGCATGGATATGTATCATGGTACGGGATGGCTGTCCCGGGGAAGTAAAGACGGCCGGCGTAATACTGACCTCATCACCCACCTAGTGCCGATAAGTCTGTAAAAATTTAGCTGCTCTTCCCATATGCCCGATGCACCTAAATGCGGGAAAAGGATCTGTATTTTGTACTTTTATTACTGGCCAGGCAAAGCTCTCATCCTAATTTGTGTGTGTGTTAAATATATATATTTTAAATCTAAATAACAGTTATGCTCCTTCAACACTAGAAACTTTGTAAAAGGGTTGAGGCAGCCCCCCCCCCCCCCATGTTATCTTTGTGTCAGCGCCCCTAGCCGTCTACAGACCATGACCTTCTCTCTACTGGAGACGGTCCGAGAAAATCTACACACCTTCCTATATTTCTGTGATGAGAATCGCTGGGTGGTCTCGGCGCATGGAGTCCGCCTCGAGTGCTGGATGTTCCTGTTCAATCCCCTGATAGGGCTGAGAATTTTTCCACGTGGACACTGACTATACTCATACCCCCTGCTCCTGGGTAGTGAGATCGGACGCCCGTGTGTATTGTTGCGCACGTAAAAAATCCCTTGGCAGTTGGAAATCGAAAAAAAGTAGCCTGAGGGCGCTGCCCGAGCAAAATTTTGAGTTAAAAATCTATCCAAAGTATTTCAGGATCCTCGCCGGTGCTACAGAGCCTGTGCACTGTGCTGAACTTCTTCGGACTCAGACTTGAGTAAGAAGAAGAACAGAGCACTTATGGGTTACACCCGTGTGCCATTATGTTGATCTGTTGTTCAAACCTCAAACCTCGAATCTGCCTGTAATAATTCAGTTCTAAAGCCCCGATTTTGCACCGCTGACACAAACTAAAGGGCATGTTTAATTTTAGCATTGTGCATCACGACAGCGACAAACTATCATGTGATCTGAAGTTTTATTAACCCTGTCGGGCCTGGCCCTTTGAAGTGCCTCACGTGACCGTAATTACTGACAGATAAATGTATATAAATATTTATATTGCCTCAGAGGAGATAGCCTGGGTATCAGTACGGCTAACTATGTGCCTGGGTATCAGTACGGCTAACTATGTTGTTGCACGTTTGGCTTGGGGTTCTTCTGTTGCACGTCTGCAGCGCCAGCTGTGGACATGGCATGTTGTATCCTCGCGACAGTGAAAGCCGACAGACCAAGCTTCTGGACGGTTTTTGGCAATTCCGCGCCGATACATCCCCCGCTCGGAACCAGGGCTTTCTGGAACAATGGTGGACAGACCGTTTGCTAGAGGTAAGAGTAGTTAACTTTGTGTTTCTCTATGTTTAATCTTCTTCTTCTTCTTCTTCTTCTTCTTCTTCTTCTTCTTCTTCTTCTTCTTCTTCTTCTTCTTCTTCTTCTTCTTCTTCTTCTTCTTCTTCTTAGTAGGAGGAGGAGGAAGGAGGAGTTCTTCTTCTTTCTTCTTCTTCTTCTTCTTCTTCTTCTTCTTCTTCTTCTTCTTTCTTCTTCTTCTTCTTCTTCTTCTTCTTCTTCTTCTTCTTCTTCTTCTTCTTCTTCTTCTTCTTCTTCTTCTTCTTCTTCTTCTTCTTCTTCTTCTTCTTCTTCTTCTTCTTCTTCTTCTTCTTCTTCTTCTTCTTCTTCTTCTTCTTCTTCTTCTTCTTCTTCTTCTTCTTCTTTCTTCTTCTTCTTCTTCTTCTTCTTCTTTCTTCTTCTTCTTCTTCTTCTTCTTCTTCTTCTTCTTCTTCTTCTTCTTCTTCTTCTTCTTCTTCTTCTTCTCTTCTTCTTCTTCTTCTTCTTTCTTCTTCTTCTTCTTCTTCTTCTTCTTCTTCTTCTTCTTCTTCTTCTTCTTCTTCTTCTTCTTCTTCTTCGTCTTCTTCTTCTTCTTCTTCTTCTTAGGAATTCTTCTTCTTCTTCTTTCTTCTTCTTTTCTTCTTCTTCTCTTCTTCTTCTTCTTCTGTCTTCTTCTTCTTCTGCGTCTTCTTCTTCTTCTTCTTCTTCTTCTTCTTTCTTCTTCTTCTTCTTCTTCTTCTTATTCTTCTTCTTCTTCTTCTCTTCTTCTTCTTTCTTCTTTCTTCTTCTTCTTCTTCTTCTTCTTCTTCTTTCTTCTTTCTTCTTCTTCTTCTTCTTCTTCTTCTTCTTCTTCTTCTTCTTCTTCTTCTTCTTCTTCTTCTTCTTCTTCTTCTTCTTCTTCTTCTTCTTCTTCTTCTTCTTCTTCTTCTTCTTCTTCTTCTGCTGCTGCTGCTGCTGCTGCTGCTGCTGCTGCTGCTGCTGCTGCTGCTGCTGCTGCTGCTGCTGCTGCTGCTGCTGCTGCTGCTGCTGCTCCTCCTCCTCCTCCTCCTCCTCCTCCTCCTCCTCCTCCTCCTCCTCCTCCTCCTCCTTCTTCTTCTTCTTCTTCTTCTTCTTCTTCTTCTTCTTCTCCTCCTCCTCGTCTTCCACCTTGTACCTCACTGAAGTTGCGGGGGGGGGGGGGGGGAGTGTAACGTTCGTTGATAAGATCTGTCAAGAGAACTACTATTAAGAATAATGTTCACTTTTGTAAGGCTGTTCATAATTCCCTCACTCCATATTTTCTGAGGTCTTCCGCTTCCTCTATACCCACGTTACTTATGTTTAATGCAGCATAGAAACCCCTCACTGTGGGGGGGGGGGTATAATGGCAGAGGTAAACAACGATACAAGTGGGGGGACAACATTAAGAGATGGACGAACGCTGGTCTGAGAGGGTGTACAATCAAGACAAGCGATAGGGCGTGTTGGAGTTCCATTGTTGGCAACCTTCACTGTGGGAAAAGGCACCTGACTGATTGATTGGTGGGAAACAAAACACAAGCTGGAGCACATCTGCTGGCGACAGATATGTTGTGTTTGAGAATAATGCAAAGAACATTATGGAGTTATGGAAGAGCACACGAAGAAGACCAGGATGTGCTCCTGACGTCACCGGTTCCGGCTAAGGATGCGTTAAAGTAGTGGTTCTCAAACTGGTTGCTGAGGCACCCTGTGGTGCCGTGAGCGTATGAAAGGGAACGCCGCGGCAATAATCAAGAAAAGTCGGCTAAAAATTGTGAAATTAATAAATAGTTTATTTCTTGTTTGAAAACCACTGCGTTAACGCATCGTTAACCTGACCCCGTTAGCCTGACCAGCTAGAGCTGGTCGTGCCTCCAGAAAGATGAAAGTCGTAAACTGGTTAGAACAATTAGACTTAGGCAGCCTTTTTTTTTTCTTTCGAATTTGTTTTAATTAGGAATGGACTGTAGAACTTGATTATAACTGGCAAGGTTGGTGGGACAAGAGCAAGAGAAAGACAACAAAAGAAATAGCTGGATAGTTTGGCTTTGTCTATGGGATGAGTCGAGCACTGACCTGATCGGTGATTGTGATGATTCTGTGGGATGGCGAAACATGACAGCCTACGCTTACCGGCGTGGCACAGGATGCTGCTTTGCACAACAAGAACAAATAAATGAAAGCACCAAACATTGAGCTGTGTTGTGTTGTCTCTGTGGTTCGAAGCGTTCACGGCACATGGGCTTGGGGTTGTCAGGCGCTGCCGCGACGCCTGAGCCGCGGACGCCGACTTGCACAAGTTAGGAGTTAAACCAGAGGTTCTCAACCTATGGGTCGTGACCTTTTTTTGGGTCAAACGACCATTTCACAGGGGTCGTCAAAGACCATTGCAAAACACATAATTATTGACGTTATGAAGTAGCCACGAATATAACTATATGGTTGGGGGTCGCCACAACACGAGGAACTGTATTAAAAGGCTCTACAGCCCAGAAGTGGACGAACAACCAGAACTTTCCGCCAGAGTTTACAGCTGGTGAACGCGAAGAAGAGTAAGAAGAAGACATATTGCGATGTTTTTTTTTTTTTTTTTTTTTCATGTTTTTATTGAACCGGTAACAGAAAGCATTAAGGAGCATGTTGTCTGTCCTCGCAGTCAGGCCCAGTGATTGATATCCCAGTGCCTGCCAGCTACAATGACATCACAGAAGACAAGAGCCTCAGGGACTTCATCGGTTGGGCCTGGTACGATCGAGAGTTCTTCGTCAGCTCAGACTGGGCTTCAAACAAACGTGTTGTCTTCAGAATTGACAGTGCTCATTATAACGCTGTTGTGGTATGTATATATATATTTGTATCTTTTTATATTCTTAACATTTTCTTTCTGACTGTTATTTTTCTGAACCCCACTTTCTCATCTTTGCCTTTTTTATTTAATACCTCTTTCTTCTCTCAACCCTTCCTTTTTTTTTTTTTTTAGCTATCCTTTTTTTTTCAGCTATCCTTTTTTTTTCAGCTATCCTTTTTTTTTTCAGCTATCCTTTTTTTTTTTAAGCTATCCTTTTTTTTAAGCTATCCTTTTTTTTCAGCTATCCTTTTTTTAAGCTATCCTTTTTTTTTCAGCTATCCTTTTTTTTCAGCTATCCTTTTTTTTTTTTTTTCAGCTATCCTTTTTTTTCCACAGCGTGTTTTTTGTTGCCCAATCCTTTTTAGTCTTCGTTTTTACAAATACAGTGTTCCTTATGCAGCTCCATGAATGGGTAGGACTGTGCTGGAAACACGGTATGACTGCATATCAATACCTCCCACTACGTAATTACAAGATGTATTACACGTATTAACAAAACATATAAAGATTAAGTATCTTTCCTGTGTGGGCTCTGGGAACCCATTTGGGAAAACCGAAAAGACCCACCATGCCTCAACAAGCATGTCAAAAGAGGCGGTTCAGCTAAAATCAGATGTGTTTGGCTGAAAGGTGAATATATCGCATGTTAGTTTTAAATTATAAAATAACGTGCTAGTCGCCGTTTGAAGAGAAAAAACGGAAGGGAAAAAAAGGAAGTTTCTGTGATTTTGGGGATAAAATACGAGATCTTAGCATCGTCAATCAACAGGTTCCTTACAGAACGTCGCTCTCATTAAAACACGCATGAAAGTCTTTTTCTCCAGCTCTATGTGCTTTCACAGTCAATGCATCTTCTTTAGTGTCTTGTACCGGACATCGCAGTGGTCTGACTGCCTTATTTTCTAGAAAATGTCCCTTCCATCACAGCCCCGCCCCTTCCTTTCCAGGGCCACCTAGACGTTAAACATGACTAAAACACCTCGGCAAGAATTAGACAGTTACAAATTTTAAAAAACTCACATTTCTACCCAAAAGAGTCTTTGTGGCGCATTGGTCAAGCCGTTCGCCTCGAGCTCTGAACGTCGTGGATTGGGTTCACGGCAGCATCGCGCTGTTCACGCGTGCCATTTTTAAGGAGAACCCCGGGGTTCGTCGAAGGAGCTACATAGGTCGTGCTCTGTGCGACGCCCTCGGCAGGCAGCTAGCCGTTATGCGGAGAGGGACTGAATCATATGGGATAAAACCCGGTGCCAAGAAGTCGATCCTCTTACCTTCACCGTTCATATTTCCACATGCCTTTTCTAACGGAATTATGGGCCCTGGGCAAAGCAGTGCACTGGGGCCCCAGCGATAACCAGTATGGAAAGTCATCACACACACACACACACACACACACACACGCGCGCGCAAGCACGCAGGCACGTACTTACGCACGCACGAACACACACACACAACACACGCACACACACGCACACAGATTAGCATAAGACCTCTATGTTCGTGGGGTCACCAGGCGAGTGCACCGCGGGCCCATGCGTTGGGACGGCACCGCTCGACCTTTAGCCCTATCGGGTATGTGGGTGCCAGTCCACAAGTGGACAGGCTAGCGGGCACACGGCGGGTGATGACGTTAATGTCACACTAGCTATCCTGACCTCTCACAACTTTGCAGCCAAGACTAGTTATTAAAATCTTCCCTGAGGCAGATTGCTTCTTAAAACTAACCCGCTTCCCAAGTCGACGTAGCCTAAAACAGATGCCGAATAATGTCATAGGAAGTAAAGGGGGCTGTCGTATTTGACTAAATCACTCAACGAGTTCCCATTGGTTCAAATGCGTATAAGTCTCCATCTTGCTATTGGTATGTAAAGACTCATTGACTCCGTCCCCACCCACTTTTGATATCAGAGCTTTGAGGGTTTGAACAACGGACCAACATCATGGCACACGAGTGTAACACATAAGTTCTCCGTTCTTCTTCTAACTCAAGTCTGAGTCCGAAGAGGCTCAGCACAGTGCACAGGCTCTGTAGCACCGGCGAGGATCCTAAACTACTTTGGGTAGATTTGTAATTCCACATTTTGCCCGGGCAGCGCCGTTAAGCTACTTTTTTTCTATTTCCAACTGCCAAGGGATTTTTTACGTGCGCAACAATGCACAGACCACGACCCCCCCCCCCACCCCACCCCTTTTGACAGCAGATTACTTGTACTGTAGGACGCCACAATATATCTGTTTTATACACTCGAATATCGTGTCTGGGATTTGCTCGTGTTCACCTCGGAACCGAACACTGGCTGTTTTAAGTTACTGGTTGTCAATCTTACAGAACCTGACCACGCCCTCGACACAAAAACAGTCACAGAAGCCTTAAAATAAAAAATAAAAATATAATGAAAAATATAATGGTATCCATATAATCAACACATGATGTAGGAGTTTCAAATCACTTATATGTGTCGTTTCAGTGGGTTAATGGTCTGGAGGTTGTTCGGCATGAGGGCGGCCACCTTCCCTTTGAGGTAGAGGTTCAGACCGTTCTCAAGTTTAATGGCCCTAACTATGTTACTGTGGCGGTCAATAACACCCTCACACCCGAGACACTGCCACCAGGGGCCATTCAGTACCAGACTGACACAACAATGTAAGTAGGGATCTATGTTGTTTAACCCATACAACATAGAGGGGATGTATATTTGTTCAACCCACACAAAATGGAGGCGATGTATATTTGTTCAACCCATACAATATGGGGGTAATGTATATTTGTTCAACCCATCCAATATGGAGGCGATGTATATTTGTTCAGCCAACACAATATAGACGTAATATATCTTTGTTAAATCCATATAATACAGAGATGATATATGTTTGTTCAATGCACACAATATAAAGGTAATTTTTGTTTGTTCAACCCACATAATGATATATGTTTGTTTAACCTAAAAAATATAATAAGGATATATATATATGTGTGTGTGTGTGTGTGCGTGTGTGTGTGTGTGTTAAACCCACATAATATTGAGGATATATATATGTTTGTTTATATTACATAGACGTGATATATGTTTGTTAAACTCACACATTGTAGAGGTGATATATGTTTGTTCAACCCACATAGTATTGTAGAGATAAATATGTATTTAACCCACACAGTATAACGGAATATATATGTATCAACCCACACAATATAGTGATAATATATATATATATATATATGTGTGTGTATGTGTGTGTGTGTGTGTGTGTTCAACCCACACTGAATATTGGGGATATATGAAGAGATGATGTATATTAGTTCAACACGTTCAATATAAAGGTGGTATATGTTTGTTCAACCCACACAATATAGAGATGATACACGTTAGTTCAACCCATACAATATACAGGTTAGATATGTTTGTTCAACCCACACAATGTAGAGGTGATACACGTTAGTTCAACCCATACAATATAAAGGTTATATATGTTTGTTCAACCCACACAATATAGAGGTGATATATGTTTGTTCAACCCACAGAGTATAGTGGGGATATATGTGTGTTCAATTAACAAAATATAGAGGTGATATATGTTTCTTCAACGCATTTAATGTAGAAGTGATATATTTAAGATCAACCCACACATTATCTTGGGGATATATATGTGTGTTCAGTCCACATATTATAGTGGGGATATATGTTTGTTTAACCCACACAATGTAGTGTGCATTTATGTGTGTTCATTCTATACAACAATGCAGTGATGTGTATGTGTGCGCGATCTTTGCATTACAATAGTGGTATAGCCGTAAGGTCCTGCACAAACTGGTAGAAGGCAAAATACTATGAACAAATACAACATAACAAAGAGACAATATACATTCTTATCTCATATCATGAGAAGGAAAAAACTGGAATACATTGTGATGATGGGAGTGTTTAGGGGGGAGGGGAGGGGGGTCAAGAAAGAAGATGCCGGACAGTTTGACATTAAGGTTTGGAAGATAATCTTTGTCAGAATTAATTGAATGTTGAATTCAGAATGGACATCACAGCACTGAGGACACCCTCATAAGTGCTCCTTCCCCATCTTCAACAGTATGCGAAGAGTTCTAATTCGGATGGCACCAGTAACAGTCTGTAAATGTGTCTCGCCTTTGTCCTGAGTGTTGATCGCCGGCAGATTCCCTTGTTACACCTCACATTGCTATTTTCTCCCAGACTGTACCGATCTATCTGTGCCTTTGCACTGTTCACTCGCTTCTAAAGAGACCTCACAACAACCAGCATTTCATAAATCAATTTACCACCAAGTGGCGCAGCGCCGGCAGAATTAATTGAAAGTACACAGTACAGAATGCTGTACATGACTACCAGTGCCACACGTCATGGATTATAAAAATAGAAAGAAGGAGGCGTGTAAACTCCTTATGTTTTTATATCAACAGGTACCCACCAGGTTATTTTGTCCAGAACCTCTTCCAGATGGATTTCTTCAACTATGCCGGAATCCATCGTCACGTGAGACTGTACACGACCCCACTGGTGTACGTCGATGACATTACCATCCTGACAGAGGTGGACAATGAGACAGGTTGTCGTTTATGTCATTTGTCTGTGATTACCTGTCTCTGTGTTGTGTCGCTATATTGTGTAATAGGCAAATCACAAGTCTCTTTATCGTGTAACAGGTAAATCTCCTGTCAATATATTGTGTAATAAGCAAATCACCTGCATCTGTATTGTTTAACTCTCATGGCTGTGTCTTGTGTAATGGGCAACTCTCATGCCTCTGTCTTGTGTAATGGGCAACTTTCATGGCTGTGTATTGTGTAATGGGCAACTTTCATGGCTGTGTATTGTGTAATGGGCAACTCTCATGGCTGTGTATTGTGTAATGGGCAACTTTCATGGCTGTGTATTGTGTAATGGGCAACTTTCATGGCTGTGTATTGTGTAATGGGCAACTTTCATGGCTGTGTATTGTGTAATGGGCAACTTTCATGGCTGTGTATTGTGTAATGGGCAACTCTCATGGCTGTGTATTGTGTAATGGGCAACTCTCATGCCTGTGTATTGTGTAATGGGCAACTCTCATGGCTGTGTATTGTGTAATGGGCAACTTTCATGGCTGTGTATTGTGTGATGGGCAACTCCCATGGCTGTGTATTGTGTGATGGGCAACTCTCATGGCTGTGTATTGTGTAATGGGCAACTTTCATGGCTGTGTATTGTGTAATGGGCAACTTTCATGGCTGTGTATTGTGTAATGGGCAACTTTCATGGCTGTGTATTGTGTAATGGGCAACTTTCATGGCTGTATATTGTGTAATGGGCAACTTTCATGGCTGTGTATTGTGTAATGGGCAACTTTCATGGCTGTGTATTGTGTAATGGGCAACTTTCATGGCTGTGTATTGTGTAATGGGCAACTTTCATGGCTGTGTATTGTGTAATGGGCAACTTTCATGGCTGTGTATTGTGTAATGGGCAACTCTCATGCCTCTGTATTGTGTAATGGGCAACTTTCATGGCTGTGTATTGTGTAATGGGCAACTCTCATGGCTGTGTATTGTGTAATGGGCAACTTTCATGCCTCTGTATTGTGTGATGGGCAACTCGCCTGTCTCTGTATTGCTTCTGGTTGGTAAATTAATGCAAGGCAATCGAGATTTGGTTCAGGCCATTTGGAAGCGCGTGTACAGCACACACAGATCATCACGGGCTGAAGAGGATGGAAGTGACAAGAAGATAAGGAAGAATAAGGATCAGAAGGGGAACGTTGCTCTGGCTGCTAAAGATAGGCATGCAGCGCTTATGAGAATGTTTCGAGAGCTATGATGTTGGGTTCGACACAACTTAGCTGTGTAAACATCTGTTATCTGTGCTGTAGGTTTGATACAGATAGCAATATCCGCAACATATTGTATAGATTGTGTGTTTACTTGCTCCGTGTGCATACTGAGGCCCTATTTTGGGGTGACGAAGAATAGACCCACGGCCCTTCCAACAAGCATGCTGAAAAGTCCACTGATTAGGGGTGGCTTCTTCGAAGTCCCCGAGGACGGCGGGTTCAAATACGCATTAGGTCGGATTTAAAATAAATATATATATTTTGGCTCCCAGGACCATCCAGCCCAAAATGGGTACCAGGCAATTTCACAAAACGAGAAGGAGGTTGGCACGATGCTGAACAGATTATCAACTGAGTGCCTATTGGTGTATCAAATATAGGTCTAGTACTATATACGTGATGTGTCTAAAGGTGTGGGAACAGGTACGAAACTTTTGTGTGTGGAAGTGGGAATGTGCTTACATGAGAGGCAAGGTGCCAACAATCTGTGTACAAATAAACCTGAGCCCCATCATTGAAGGATTGTTGATGCATTACAAACGGCAATGATCCGCGGGCCACTTGCCAAGCCTCCGCGGGTCAGATGTGACCCACAAGCCTCAAGTTGAATAGGCTTGGTCTATAATTATGAATCTGAATGTGTTCTATGTCTGAAGTATATCAATGTGGATATGTGTTCTGTGTCTGAAGTGTATCAGTGTGGATGTGTTCTGTGCCTAAAGTGTATCAATGTTGATGTGTTCTATGTCTGAAGTGTGTCAACATGGATGTGTTCTATGTCTGAAGTGTGTCAATGTGGATGTGTTCTATGTCTGAAGTGTGTCAACATGGATGTGTTCTATGTCTGAAGTGTGTCAATGTGGATGTGTTCTATGTCTGAAGTGTATCAATGTGGATGTGTTCTGTGTCTGAAGTGTGTCAACATGGATGTGTTCTATGTCTGATGTGTATCAATGTGGATGTGTTCTATGTCTGAAGTGTATCAATGTTGATGTGTTCTATGTCTGAAGTGTGTCAACATGGATGTGTTCTATGTCTGAAGTGTGTCAATGTGGATGTGTTCTATGTCTGAAGTGTATCAATATGGATGTGTTCTGTGTCTGAAGTGTGTCAACATGGATGTGTTCTATGTCTGGTGTGTATCAATGTTGATGTGTTCTATGTCTGAAGTGTGTCAATGTGGATGTGTTCTATGTCTGAAGTGTGTCAACATGGATGTGTTCTATGTCTGAAGTGTATCAATGTGGATGTGTCTGTGTCTGAAGTGTATCAATGTGGATGTGTTCTGTGTATGATGTGTATCAATGTGGATGTGTTCTATGTCTGATATTTATCAGTGTGGATGTGTTCTGTGTCTGATGTGTATCAGTTTGGATGTGTTCTGTGTCTGATGTGTATCAATGTGGATGTGTTCTATGTCTGAAGTGTATCAATGTGGATGTGTTCTCTTTCTGATGTGTATCAATGTTGCTGTGTTCTATGTCTGAAGTGTGTCAGTGTGGATGTGTTCTATGTCTGAAGTGTATCAATGTGGATGTGTTCTGTGTCTGAAGTGTATCAATGTGGATGTTTTCTGTGTTTGAAGTGTATCAATGTGGATGATGTTGAAACGCATCATTTATAACCGTCCACAGTAGCCTGGGTCAATTACACAGTGGCCGTGGCAGGTGGATTCAGCAGCCAGGTGGAGGTGACAGTGGAGGACGCCAATCATCATGTAGTTGCCAGCAGTAACACCCTGACTAATGTTCTGGCCATCCCCTACCCGACTCTGTGGTGGCCGGTAGGGATGAACAGCACAGTTGGTTACATGTACACACTCAAGGTAGGCGGGGGAAGCGGTCTGTAGGCAATTCATTACTTCAAAATAACTGCGTCAAATGAAAGGACCTGATTTTCTTATCTGTACAGTCGAGAAAAAAACGCCTATGAAACTTATGATATTTGAAGTTGCCCTTACTCAGCTTACACAAGTTACAAGCATGCTGAATTTAGTTTTGAATGGGTGCCTGTTTTATCATATACTGCAATAAGGCACAATGAAAAATAAATTTAAAAATATTTCTTACAGGGCCATTATGATTAACAGATTGCATGCCATATTTCAATAATTCACACTGCATACCATATTTTAATAATTTACAAAATCCCCAATTAGTCGACCCTTACGACATGCTTGTGAAGGATTCTTGTTTTCCCCACAATAAGGCTCCGAAACCCACACAGGCAATTCCATCTAATAAAATTGATCTCCTTGCTACATGCTCTATTGTTTAGTTCCACGTAGAATTAAGGTCCAAATGACATATTAAAGCCCTGAAGTTTTCAACTCCCAGTAACATATCAAAGACAAAAATGTTCTAAGTTTCAGTAACGAGGAGTTGAGATGATTTAAGAAGCGACACAGCAGAACTCGGGGCATCCATCTCTTCGGAACCAGATGGCAAATCAGAGACGTCATATTCTGAGATGGCAGTAATATATCAGAGGGGACAGTTCATGTCTGTGTTGTTCAACACAAGAGTGAACGCAAAAGAAGAAGATCAGTCTTTTATCATAATGAATAAGTTAAGTTAGTTGCGTATCCTTACAGGACATCGCAGGACCAACCCCGGTTCTTGTGGTTTTTCTAGGCAAATTGACGTCCAGTAGTTTACCATTGCTTTCTGAAATGTCAGCTTCTCGATACCACAGTCGAAAGCAACGCAAGGCCTGAATTTATAACGTACCCCAAACACGAAATTCCCGTGGTTAATCCACAGCTGACCTGACAGTTCATTATTTCAAGGGGTGCAAGTGTGCTGTTGTTTGGTGTTGTTTTTGAGTGTTCATCTAGTGTCTGGTAGTCTGGTAGTCTGGTAGTCTTAGTTTCAGCTTCATAGCAAACGGGTCGCCCCATCTTGCTCCGCTCCTGTGCCAGCGAAAAACACCCAGAATGTTTATCACAGTCCCTTGTGGAAAGATTGACAGACTGCTGTCTCAGCATATCTAGCATACACTCGCATTAACGCATATGGTAGCCATCCGAAGTGCTAACACAAACAGTCCAACATTAGAAATGTAGTTCATCATTGATGATAGCAGAACTTGTCGCCAACAGATCAGCAGTTGCCCGGGCGATCAATTTTAATACGGGTCCCGCCAGCATTGCACGACCGGCATCGCGCCATTTTCTGAATCTACAATTCACACCACGTTGGTCACAGTCGAAAGTGTCTTCTTAGTGTCTTCTAACCCTAACCCTAAAGTTGGCTGTAGATAAATCGCGAGAAACTACAACCTGAACACCCTAGAATTTATTGGGAATGTCTCCCGTGACGTTGTCGTGACGTCAGGGGTCAGTTATAAATTAAGTACCGCTGGGATCGAACCGGCACCCCGGTATTACGAAGCGCGTTCGTAACGCCAAAGCTACAGACGCCGACAATGTGGTGAAGGAGGTATAGAAATTATAGTGTCTGATTATCAGTCGGTATTAGGGAAGGTGCAAAGTGGACAAATGTGGATACCAAGCTTCAACGCGTCATCATTTTAGGGACTCATGAATATACTGTCTGGGATGTGCAGGAGTGTGAGGCAATGAGAGTGCGGACTGTTTAGCTACAAAAGCGCTAGGTCTGGGAACACCCGTACTCAACAACGGAGACCTTATAAGGACCATTAACGCACCAATGCTGGGACAAGACACGAGGCTAGACAAAAAAGATGTGTAAGAATGTGTGAATGAGAAATTAGGTGTGGATCTCGTAAGGATGGACGAATGAGAGGAAGAGAAAAACTTGTATATTATCAGCATACTGCTGCAACATTTAGCATATACACCTGAAGACATTTGCTGCGGGAGACGGAGCACCTAATGAGTATGCCCAGAGTCTTATTATATAGATTCTTAAATCAGTAATCACAAGGATTCCTTGTGGTTTGAGATTTGAACATCGGATCAACATCATAATGCACGGGTAGTAACCCATAAGTGCTCAGTTATTCTTCTAAATCAAGTCTGAGTTCCAAAAAGCTCAGCACGGTGCACAGCACTGCAGCTCCGGCGAGGATTCTGAAATACTTTGGGTAGATTTTTAACTCTAAATTTTGTCCGGGCAGCACCGTTAGGCTATTTTTTCGATTTCCAACTGCCAAGGGATTTTTTACCTGCTCAGCCATGCACACGGGCGTCCGATCTCACTACCCAGAGACCAGGGGGAATTTCTTCAAGTCCAAGTCCACGTGAAAAAATCCTGCCCTTACCGGGGATTGAACCCGGAACCTCGAGCAATCCTTACCGGGGATTGAACCCGGAACCTTGAGCGCTCGAGACCAGGCAGCCCCCAAGGACTTGTGTGTTGCTGTTGTTATTGTTGTGTCTGTTGTCTTTGTGTGTGCAGGTGAATGTGTCGGGAGATATCTACCGTCAGCCTTTTGGAATCAGAACTGTCAGAGTGACGGAAGACCAGTTTCTCATCAACGAGAAACCTTTCTACTGTCTGGGTGTTGGCAAACATGAGGACGCAGATGTGAGACCAGTGTGTTGTCATGACCACGTTGTTGTCTTTTTATGCTTCTTCATATATTTCATACCCTTTTTCAGCTTTTTGTCATGTTACTATTCTGTAAAGTTGTCCTCTTCTCCTCTTACACCTCTTTGTCCTCCTCCTCCTCCTCTACATTTATTGAAAGCATTGATGTCAATATGTCCTGGTTCCTATTTTTGACTGGGGTTGACCTGGAGTCAGGGTCAATTTTGAAGAAATACCAAATCTGATTCAGTGTGGATTTGAACCGAGGACTTTTTTGATTGTAAGGCGAAAATCTAGTTACTAGGCTACCACTGCTCTCAGCAGAAAGTGTATTCTTTACAGTTTTACGCATCAAAGTTACACAGAAATATACAATAACTCCCAACAAAGACTAACTCTTCGAAGACTATACAGACAGACGGACGGAAGGACGGACAGACGGACAGACAGACAGACAGACAGACAGACGTACACACGTGCACACGTCCATACGTGCATAGGTACATTCATAGGATACATATGTGCAAAAGTACATTTATAGGATACATACACACAAACACACACACGTACATACGCAGACATACACATACATACACAGACACACATGTACATACACAGACACACACGTACATACACAGACACACACGTACATACACAGACAGACACACACATACATACATACACAGACACACACGAGCATGCATGCATAATACACACACACACAAACACATACAAACACACTCACACGTACGCACGCACACACACGTACAATAGTAAATCATGCTTCTTTTTACGAGTGCCTATCAATACAAGTCTGTTTGAGTATTGTATTTACTCTTTCTTTGTGAGAAGGAAAGAAGAAGAAGAAGATACTTACTGATTATACGACATCAAGAATGTCCCATCTGTTTAGTTCTTCAAAGAACACGTTTTATCATCAATATATCTCTATTTCTACCCTTGTTTCTCCCATGAAGTTCCGTGGGAGAGGCTTGGACTACACACTGATCGCCAAAGACTTCAACATGCTGAGATGGCTGGGGGTCAACTGCATAAGAACCTCCCACTACCCATACGCGGAGGAGATCATGGACTTTGCTGACAGGCAAGGGGTCGCAGTTATCGACGAGAGCCCGGGGGTTAGCATCATAAATGTGTAAGCTTCATTTCTCATCCAGGTTTTCTTTTTCTCATTCACAATATGGGTCCGGGGTCTCAATGGGGGTGGGGGAAGAGTGGGGCGGGGATAGACACGTTGCTCTATAATAAGCATGACGTAAAGTAAAATAAAAGTAAATGACATTTTGTTGCACCTTTAGGCGTATTGGGCATATAGGGCTAGACCAGTATTTTATAGACCAGTCAGCACTCGGTGGGTGATGTGGTCAACACATCACACCCGTGCCACCTTTACTTCCAATTTCATAAAAGGAAAGACTAATTAGGTTTCTTTCCTTCGAAGCCAGAGTGCATATTCTGTCTGACGGGTTAGGAAGCAATAATCGGCACCTGAATAAGCCGGATTTGTAAAACGGATGTGCATGCACGATTTGAGTTCTGTAACAAAGATCAAAGTGAACGAACAACCATAAATGTCCATCCGCCAGAGTTTACAGCCAGTAAACGCTCAGAAAAGAAATCTTCACAGTCAGCTTAACCTCAGTTTTTCGTAAAGTCCATTACAAAAATACTGGCACATTGAGTCGGCGCAGCAGACAAGAGACGGTTTAAGCAACGGATCAATATCATGACACATGGGGTAACCCATAAGTGCTCCGATCCACTTCTGACTCAAGCCTGAGTCCGAAGAATCTCAGCGCAGTGCATGAACTCCGTAGCACCGGCGAGGATCCTAAAATAATTAGGGTAGGTTTTTACCTCCAAATTTTACCCGGGCAGCGCAGTTAGGCTACTCTTTTCGATTTGCAACAGCCAAGGGATTTTTTTTTTTTCATGCACTACAATTCACTACAATTCACACGAGTCTTGCTACCTAGAGATCGGGGATATTACTAGAAGTCAACGTGAAAAAATCCCAACCTTAACCGAAGCCTGAACCCGGGACCTCAAGCACTTAAGGCGGCGTCATGCCTAGAACCACGCAGCCCAGCCACAGACAATGTTGTTTGGAACTAAAAGGAACTCCAAAAGTGGTCAGTTTTATGAGAAGCTGAGATATGTTGGCCATGTCAAGTGTCAAGGTGGGCTGGCGAAAAAAGTGGTGGAGGGCACAGTTTAAACAGAGACCGAAGTCCGCCAAGGTGGATACAAAACATTGAATATGTATTGACTGTGAAAGCACATAGGGCTGGAAAACTGCCCAGTGAGACATACTTTCAGGTGTAAAGAACCTACTTGATGATTTATCACAACTCATCTGTCAGTGTAGATCAGGGATGCGATCACAAGAAGAATATTGAATTAAGTATCGACATCACAGCACTCGGGTCACACCCATAAGCGCTCCGTCCCCATCTTCAGCAGCAGACGAAGAGTTGAAATTCCGATGGCACCAGTAACTGTCTGATTGTAAACGCGTCTCGCCTTTCTTCTGAGTCTGGAGCAAGAAGAAAAAGAAACCAATGCATTGCTTTCATCACCATCACCTTTCTACAGAGGGTCTCCCCAGTAAAGTGGTTAAGTTTTTTGTCTCCTTTTTCGAAGGCCTGCGCTGGGTGACATTTGATGGAGAATGGAGGTGGAAACAGTCAATGCTGTCTTCCGGTGGTTTGACAGTCAGCTGTACACACATCTCGTAATTGTAACCGACTCACAGAGGATGCTGAGAAAGGTGGGGACAGGTATGCTCCATGCAGAGTGGCAAGCATCGCATCAGAGGGTCCGGGTAGTTAGCGTCCTTTGGATAGTTTCTCCAGGTCATTCCGATGTGTCAGGATGCGAGCAGGCAGATAGACTGGTCTGTTCTGCACCACTTTGGGGTAAGTTGGTGTACGACAAGCTACATGTTGTGAGGACCCTTTGGGAGCGAGTGAACAGTGCGGATGCACACATAGATCACTACGGTCTGAGGAGAATGAAACCGCGAGAAGTTACCAGGGGATCTGGCCGACGCTCAAGGAAAAGGCGAGACTGCTATACAATCAGAGAGTTGCTGTTGCCATCAGAATTGGAACTCTCCGCTTGCTGCTGATGATGGGAACAGAGCGCTTATGGGAGTGTCTCGAGTGCCATGATGTTGATTCTTAATTCGACGTTCAACATTTGGAGAAGTTTAGGGATCTTAGCTGAAGGTACGTAGTTGACCCAGCGTTTTCATGCTTGCTGCTCTTGACAAGCTGCCAGCCATTCTATGGAGACCAAACCGTATAAGCCTGATTCAATTAAGTCGATTTTTTCTTCTACTTTAACTGTAACTATTGTCTTGTTATAAACATTATCATAATCTAGGGAGCTGTTTAGTGCAGTGGCTAGCCAACTAATGTTATCGATCAAAAGGCACTTAGGGAGGGAGGTAGTTGGTTTACTACCGGCCGTCTTTACTCTCCATAACATTTCCTGGGACCCAGGTCGGTTCCATGGCCCCATTGTGGGGGAGGGGGGGGGGCAGACCTACTGCCCTCAACAAGCATGTCGTGAAAGTCTACTAAGTATGCGTACATAAAGGGCCGGATTTGTCAAACGGATATGCACACAAGACTTAAAAAATGAAACAGAAATGGACGAACAAATAAAAGCCCAGAATTGGGCGAACAACCAGAATTTTCCTCTGCTGTTTAGTATACAGCCGGTGAACGTGTAGAATTTTTATTACTCATGTTTGCGTTGGGTCAATTTGGGGGGGGGGGGGGGGGGGGCAAGTGTCGTCTCCAGCATGGAGCTCAGCTACTGTGTACCAGCTATCTTGAGGAATATTGCGTGGTAAGGCTACCAATTTCTTCCACAGTGCGACTCTCGTACCACTGTCCGATACCGTAAAAAAAATTTTGGGGACGGGGGCTTTAAAAATAGACTGTCCGTCATAGAAATCTAATACTAGAGAATCATGAAATGGTTGAACATATTCACTAGCTTTTGAGAACCTCTCATATGATACCACAGCTTAAGAATGGAGGTGGAGGCGGTCACTGCAGCTTTCCTTGGCTAGAAAACATCACACACACACACACACACACACACACACACACACACACATTGTGATTGCAACTGACCCAGAAAGCATGCTGATGAAGAAGAGGATAGACATGCTTCGTGCAGAGTAGCGTGCTTCTCTTTAGAGGTCACGTATGAGAAGCATTGATTGTATCTTTTCTCCGGGATGTTGGGAAATGAACAGGCGAGGTGTTGGGAAATGAAAAGGCGGGGTGTTGGGAAATGAACAGGCGGGGTGTTGGGAAATGAACAGGCGGGGTGTTGGGAAATGAACAGGCGAGGTGTTGGGAAATGAACAGGCGAGGTGTTGGGAAATGAACAGGCGGGGTGTTGGGAAATGAACAGGCGAGGTGTTGGGAAATGAACAGGCCAGGTGTTGGGAAATGAACAGGCGGGGTGTTGGGAAATGAACAGGCGGGGTGTTGGGAAATGAACAGGCAGACTGTCTGGCTAGCTCTGCAATACTTGGTAGAATATTGATGCCTGAAAAGGCAGATATAGTTAGGGCCTTGTGAGAGAACGTGTTTAATTTGGAGGAGCAAAGGGATCACCAGTTTTGTAAGAGTGATGCAGCGGGGAGTGACAACGGGATCTGGCTCATACTTGACGTCCGGAGGAAAGGCAAAACGGGTATATAGTGAGAATGTTACGACATCTTTGGTTTTGAAACTGCACTGGTTGCTGAAGATGACGGAGCGCAAATGGGAATGCCCCGCGTGCCGTGATGTCGGTTCTTGAATCAAATCAACTTAACTATCCTCTGAACAAGACGTCAAGTTCTTGAGACCTAGTCCTTACAAACCCAAGTGGATCAGTCACAGTTACGATGGTTTGGACATGTATGCAGAATGGGAGAAAATCGGCCACCATTGCAGGCATGGGAGGCTAAGAACGAGGGAACTAGACCTCTAGGACGACACAGGGTGCGCTGGGAAGACAACATCCGACAGTCCCTAACTGACAGAGGACTGGAATGGAACAAAGCCAGAAAGAAAACTGCTGATAGAGACGTCTGGCGATCTCGCTGGCAAACCTCTACACCCCAAGGTAGAAGAGGAGCGACTAAGTAAGTAAGTAAGTAAGTAAGTAAGTAAGTAAGTAAGTAAGTAAGTAAGTAAGTAAGTAAGTAAGTAAGTAAGTAAGTAAGTAAGTAAGTAAGTAAGTAAGTAAGTAAGTAAGTAAGTATCCTCTGAGCGGTTTAGCCCCTGGCTGGTCAGCCGGCAAGCCCATGTCAGTGGTTAAAAACCCTCCTTGATGGGGTTTGCTAGGCTCGTTGACAACTGTGCTAACCATGGCACTTTCTTGACTCCCTTGTTTCGTCTTATCCGTTTGTATGTGTGCCTTCCATCAACGCAGGTGACTTTGCACCCATTTTATCTTCATATATGATGCTTTCCCTCTGCCCAGTATACTCTGGATCCTTACCCGCACAGGACGAGACGACAGGCAGGCAGGTAGGGTCAATATGGGTGTCCCAGCTATAGGACCCCTGGAATCTGAACAGGTTCTCCGGAATTCGCCCTTTGTCTTGCCGTCCAAATGGAGCTCTTCTAATCTCGTGGTCAAACGTTCAGGTAGGAGCCCGGGTGGGAGGAAACAAGGAAAAAGAAGTACATGATTCTTTACATATATTTTATCTTCCCATGTTGCACTTTCCTCAGAATTCTTTATATTTGGTCAATCTTCATATATTGTGTCTTCCAGCAACAACTTTGGCAACGTGTCTCTGCAGCATCATCTAGACGTGATGTCCGAACTGATCCGCCGTGACAAAAATAAACCTTCGGTCATCATGTGGTCAGTTGCCAATGAACCAGCCAGTGACCTTGACATCTCTGTACCATACTTCAAGTGAGTGTTACGGTTACATCACTCTGACATCATCAACACGCGCCTGGCCATTTTACACTCTGCTTTGGGTGACAAAGCATTCCGCTGGCTTCAGAACCAGCTCCGTCAGCGTTTTATGATTGTAACAAACCATGTCCGGCTTTAGCTATTTACTCAGAAAAGATATAAAACCGAACGAAAAGTATATAAGCAAGCTTCACAATATAACAAATACAAACAAAACGTGAACGTTGCGGCTACTGCGCCTTCATCAGCACACACAAATGAAACAATACTACACAGAAACACAAAATCACTTAGCTGGTATCTCGAAGCAGCCGGGTTGGTTGTTTCTCAGCTATTTACTGCTCGAGCCCAGCTGTGTAACAAACTCACACAGCGTATGAGAAAGGTGGAGACAGGTATGCCCCGTGCAGCGTATGAGAAAGGTGGAGACAGGTAAGCCCCGTGCAGAGCGACGTGCATCACTTCAGAGAGACCCTGTAGTTAGCTTTGGGTATTTTCTCTGAGGAATGCGGGTGTGTTGGAAAACGAACTGGCATACAACCTGGCTGTTTCTGCATCACTTGGTGGTAAACTGATTCATAACAAGCCCTTTGAGAGCGATGAATCTGCAGAAACACGAATAGATCATCAAGAACAGAATAGTATAGTGCTGTGGTAGGGAAGGAGAGTGGTATACAGCAGGTCTGGCCAACAGTGAACACGCAGAGAAAAGGCAGGACAGACAAGCAATCCAGACTGCTGCTGGTGCCACCAGAGACTGAACTCTGCACTGACTGCTGGAGACAGGATCAGAAAGCATTCAGAATGACCCAAATTGTGTATCTACCCGGCTTCACCCGAGATAAACTTATCTAATTATTGAATCATTTTAACTAATTTTAGTCACTGTATCATTGCAAATTTTCTTCAATACCTAACCGTCCACTGCAGGATGTGCCCAGAATAAAAAATAGAAATGGTGTTTGAAAAAGTATGTTACAGGAAAATATAACATCTTCCTTTTTTCCCTTTTTAGAACCATCTTAGATTTCACTAAAGCCAGTGATCCTGCCCATCGACCAACTACCTTTGTATCGTACAAGCCTTTTGAGACTGATAAAGTGGTGAGTAGATTACCTGATAGTGTTTGGATTAAGTAGTGGTAGAGACTAATAAAGTGGTGAGTGGATTACCTGATAGTGTTTGGATTAAGTAGTGGTGGAGACTAATAAAGTGGTGAGTGGATTAACTGATTGCAGCAATGAAAGCAGTAGTGGTAGAAAGCAGTGATAAACTACTGAATGTAAAATAAGCATAGAAAAGCCGCAACATCCAAAAGATGCTGGGGCTAGTTCTTCAACGTACTGTAAATTATAACGCAACTGACCGTAGCAGCAGTAGTAGCTATAGCATGGCTTTTTTCTGGTGGTTCGCAATACCATTTTTTTCAGAGCTCATCATCATCATATAGCAGGTCCTTTGCAGAACGTCGCTCTCATCATAATCTGCCTGTAAGAAACTCGGTCTCTTGCCAGTTCTCCCTCCTCATGAACTTTCACACTCAAAGAGTCACTTATATCCTGTGCCCATCTTCATGTCGGTCGGCCCCTGCCCTTGCTTCCTGGTACCATGCCTTCTGCTATAATTTTTTTCCAATCCGTCGTGGCGCTTGATATGACCAAAATATTTCAGCTTTCGAGAAAGGATGTTGTTTATTAGCCAATCTTTCTTGATGTTCAGATCTTTTAAGATGTCAATATTTCTCATCTTCTTTGTCCAAGATATTCTGAGAATCTTTCTATACCAGAGCTATTGTAATTAATTGACACTTTATGATGACTACTGCACCTTCTATAGTCATTTTATGATTAGTTACTGCACCTTTTTTACTTCTATAAAAATGTCATAAGCTCTGGTATATGCATGTGTGCGTGCCTATGTGTCTGCGTGTGTGTGGGTTTGGTTGATATGTGGGTGGGCGGAAGGATCATTGCTCGCACTGAAGCAGTTATATCATGATGAATGCCAAGGCAGTTTGTTTACTGCCCGTGTGTTTACCTACATTTTTTCTGTCCGCCTGTATGCCTTTCATATGTGTGCCTTTTGTCTGTATGTACGTCTGCTTGCTTGCATGTCTGTCTGACTTTAACCTGTCTGCCTGCCTTTTGCCTGTGTTTGTGTCTGTCCGTCTGCTATTTGCTTGGATGTCTGGGATTTTATATATCTACCAGTTTGTGTTAGGTTTATGAGATAAGATGCATGTCTGAATGTGATAGTGCACCCAGCTTGTGTGACTCTGCTGCTTAGAGGTGAGTGAACTGGTTTCACAATACGAATTACAGTCACCCTCCATTGTGAAGACATCACTGTTGTAATAGTTTCTGACTCATTTATTGTGAGAATCGACTGGTCGAGGGGTTACAACGTCGCTTCTCGTTGCAGGAGACTCTCTAAGGTAGTAGAGTTTTTCTGTGGGAGGGGGGGGGGGGGGGGGATTAAATATCCTAACCTGTACAGGTCCTAAACCGTCAGGCTCACAACCCCCCTGTCTACACCGCCCTAAAAAAGGGGTTTAACACAGACAGAGTTGACAGATGTAAAGTTTTCCGTTTAGGTTGACGTTAATCTCCCCAAACAGAGTTGGTCAATTTTAATTCGCAAGTTTGTTGGGTTAGTCGACATTCCTGAAGGTTACGTTGCGTTGTCTTGCATTTACATTTTTATTCCGAGAAAGAGAATGCCTGTAACATAGGTTGTAGCACTCTTTAGGAGGGCTGTGTTATGGTCAGTTTCTCCATGTTTTTGGAGTGTTAAAAGCGCTGGCGTGCAGAAATATACAACACGCGTTATCAACGGCATTGCGGAACACCCCTCTGACCTTGTGCGATGATCACGGAGCCCAGGAACTATCAATCAGAAATGAGCTAGAATGTATATGCGCGGGGCCTGGGGAGACTAACGTTACGTGTTCCAGTTTTCCTTACTAATCACAGGTTATTGTTGGTCTCTGACTGCAGGTAAAGTTCGCTGATGTGATCTGCCTCAACCACTACTACGGCTGGTACACAGACTCTGGTCACCTGGAGGTCATTCGCTACCAGCTTCGTCGGGAGTTTGCTGGCTTCAGGAAACTCTACAAGAAACCAATTCTCTTCACGGAGTATGGGGTGGACACCATACCAGGGCTTCATATGGTTTGTACAGATCGTAGCTTGTGTCGTCCTCCTATAGTTTGTACAGATCGTAGCTTGTGTCGTCCTCCTATAGTTTGTACAGATCGTAGCTTGTGTCGTCCTCCTATAGTTTGTACAGATCGCAGCTTGTGTCGTCCTCCTATAGTTTGTACAGATCGTAGCTTGTGTCGTCCTCCTATAGTTTGTACAGATCGTAGCTTGTGTCGTCCTCCCATAGTTTGTACAGTATGGGGTGGATACAATTCCAGGTCTTCATGTGGTTTGTACAGATCTTAGCTTTTGAACGTTCCCTATTTTGTTCAGACCTTAGTGAAGTCCGCCAACAGTTTTACAGGTCTTAGCTTGTTATGTCTTCCCATAGTTTAAACAGATCTTAGCTTGTAATGTCTTCCCATAGTTTGAACAGATCTTAGCTTGTAATGTCTTCCCATAGTTTAAACAGATCTTAGCTGGTAATGTCTTCCCATAGTTTGAACAGATCTTAGCTTGTAACGTCTTCCCATAGTTTAAACAGATCTTAGCTGGTAATGTCTTCCCATAGTTTGAACAGATCTTAGCTTGTAACGTCTTCCCATAGTTGAAACAGATCTTAGCCTGTAATGTCTTCCCATAGTTTGAACAGATCTTAGCTTGTAACGTCTTCCCATAGTTTAAACAGATCTTAGCCTGTAATGTCTTCCCATAGTTTGAACAGATCTTAGCCTGTAATGTCTTCCCATAGTTTGAACAGATCTTAGCTTGTAACGTCTTCCCATAGTTTAAACAGATCTTAGCCTGTAATGTCTTCCCATAGTTTGAACAGATCTTAGCTTGTAACGTCTTCCCATAATTTGAACAGATCTTAGCTTGTAATGTCTTCCTATAGTTTGAACAGATCTTAGCTTGTAATGTCTTCCCATAGTTTAAACAGATCTTAGCTTGTAATGTCTTCCCTTAGTTTGAACAGATCTTAGCTTGTAATGTCTTCCTATATTTTGAACAGATCTTTGCTTGAAATGTCTTCCTATAGTTTAAACAGATCTTAACTCAAAGTGTCCTCTCATAGTTTGTGCAGATTTTAACTTGTGATGTTTTGGTTTTCTTCTTCTTCTGCATTCACTTTAAAGGTGAGCTGCCTGTTGTGCCTGTGATATAAGTGCTTTTAAGTCCAACATGTCTGATTTAGGAGACTCAATCGTCTTTTACGTCATGCTTGTTAGGGGTACAGAAGGTCCTTTTTTCCTGTCCACCACAAAATAAAGCTGCGAAACACACAGGGATAATTCTTGACTGATTTGTACAATTTTGTTCTAATGACGGGGAAGATGATGAAGGATGCATTGCAAAGGTGGCACGGAGGTATATCATTAGTGGAATTGAGACAGAAAGAGAGCACACTAATAGTAAACATCCTCAAGACCCCCATCAGCAGACTTAACAGAAAGCAAAAAAAAAAAAAGCAACAGTTTTACGTCTATAAACAGGGCACTGCAGGCTCAACTACCACAAAAACGATTGTACAGTCCCCACTGTGTGCCTGTCAGACAGGACCACAAACACCTGATCCCATTCTGCAGACCTGCCCACTTTACCTACAACTTCGAAAAGACATCTGGCACAAAGAACAAAATGAGCGTAGCCAGCTATGGGGAACCTTGCAGGACCTGCAGCTGACATGCGAATTCATAGAGGCAACCCACCTGATGGTCTGATCTGAGCATACAAAACCGAAGGCAAAGAAGAAGTAGAAACAGATTCAGACGACAAGGGACCGATATTTGTGGAGATTCATAAACGCCTACGCCGATCGGCAGGGCACCTGATAATATATAGCATAATGTTCTGATGATAAAATAGGTCTTTTATTGGTTATGACCCATCTTGACCTCTGTCTTCATAGTGAATGTTGTCAACCGAAAAGACATGCAAAGAACAACAAAAGAATTAGCAAATATATCATCAAGGGTTAGATTACAAATCAGTTATGAAAAGACAAATATTCTGAAGAATTCAGGAACAGATCAAGCAAAGGTCACACTGAAGACTTCAGGGACAGATGTAGCAGTGGTCACACTGAAGATTTCAGGAACATACCAAGCAGAGGTCACACTCAAGACTTCAGGAACAGATCAAGCAGAGGTCACACTGAAGATTTCAGGAACATACCAAGCAGAGGTCACACTCAAGACTTCAGGAACATACCAAGCAGAGGTCACACTCAAGACTTCAGGAACAGATCAAACAGAGGTCACACTGGAGACTTCAGGAACAGATCAAGCAGAGGTCACACTGGAGACTTCAGGAACAGATGAAGCAGAGGTCACACTGGAGACTTCAGGAACAGATGAAGCAGAGGTCACACTGGAGACTTCAGGAACAGATGAAACAGAGGTCACACTGGAGACTTCAGGAACAGATGAAGCAGAGGTCACACTGGAGACTTCAGGAACAGATGAAACAGAGGTCACACTGGAGACTTCAGGAACAGATGAAGCAGAGGTCACACTCAAGACTTCAGGAACAGATCAAACAGAGGTCACACTCAAGACTTCAGGAACAGATGAAGCAGAGGTCACACTGGAGACTTTAGGAACAGATGAAGCAGAGGTCACACTAAAGACTTCAGGAACATACCAAGCAGAGGTCACACCGAAGACTTCAGGAACAGATCAAGCAGAGGTCACACTAAAGACTTCAGGAACATACCAAGCAGAGGTCACACTGGAGACTTCAGGAACAGATGAAGCAGAGGTCACACTAAAGACACAATTAATTGAAGTAGCAGATCAGTTTACATAGTTAGATAGCAATTCTGATTGCCAAAGCAACATAAAGAAATAAATTATGAAACGTCCTGACAAGGCAACAGCCGCTTTTAAAAGTCTCAACAAAATATTACACTCCAAATTATATAGATTTTAACTTAAGGTACGTAGTTTTAATTCCAATGCTATTTTCAGTTTTAACATATGCCAGTCAAAATCGGGCAACCATTGAAGAAATGGAACACAAGTTTCATGTATCTAAAAAAAAAAGTTTCTGCTTTTTCTTTTCTCTACTCCTGGAATGGCTTGCGGCGTCAGGGCAGGAAGAGATCTTTTATACGGTATCTTCTGTTCGCTTCGTATAAAATATATTTCAGTGCTTTTGTTATTTTTAAACGGTCTATATTCTGCGTGGTTGACCTCTGCTCTGTTACCGTTTTTTCTGTATAAAATTGATTTCTGTGGTGCCTTTTCTGATACCAATCTTGTTCTATGGCCAAACCATTCAATTTGTTGTCAGCCTATAAAGTTGAGTATAGTTTCTGTACCGACTCTCCTCCTGCTATCATCGTTCCCAAGTCGATCTTTCCTCGTTACACCTAGCGAAAGGAAATTTAAAAAAAAAACTAAGAAAAGTCAATGTATTGACAACCGCTTGTATCATCAGTTAAACAGCCAAGAAGATGGCAATATATCGTGGTCGACGTGAGGAGAAATGGACCGATAATCACAAAATAAGCACTTAAATGAAATGGGAAACAAATGATCTGAGAATATAAAACGTCGAAGAGAAATCTTGAGAGCAACGTTGTTGAGAGAGGCCAAGGAGACTGGACTGGATTCTATCCAAGATATCCAGAGAATTTCACAGGATAGAACTAAATGAAGGAGTAGACTACGAGCCCTGTGTGGCGTATAACAGCAGAAGAGGCTGATGATGTTGATGATGATGATGTTGATGATGATGATGTTGATGATGATGATGTTGATGATGATAATGTTGATGATGATAATGTTGATGATGATAATGTTGATGATGATGATGTTGATCATGATAATGTTGATGATGTTGAAAATGATGATGATGATTATTATGTTGATGATGATGTTGATAATGATGATGATGTTGATAATGATAATGATGTTGATGATGATGATGTTGATGATGATAATGATGATGATGAGGATGTTGATAATGATGATGAGGATGTTGATCGTGTTGATGATGTTGTTGATGATGTTGATGATGATGATGATGATGATTGTAAATGTAAATCACTGGAACATTACTCTCTCTTCAGAACCCCTCATTTGTGTTCAGTGAAGAGTTCCAGGTCAGCTACCTGCATGAGCACCACAAAGTGTTCGATGAAGCTCGACAACAATATCTCATCGGAGAGATGGTCTGGAACTTTGCTGACTTTGCCACCATTGAAGGTAATTGCGCGCGTGTGTGTGTGCGAGCGTGCGTGTGTGGTTTTTAAAAAAAAATCCAGATGGTTATATTTATTGGAACCTGCTGGTTATTGCTAGTGGAACAAACTGTTGATATTTAGTGGAACTAAATCAGTTGGTTAAAGTTAGTAGAACCCTTGGTTTTTAGTGGAACCAACTTGTTATAGTTAGAAGAACCAAGTGGTTATAGTTAGTTGAACCAGTGTTTATAGTTAGTTAATCCAGTGGTTAAAGTCAAACCAGCCGTTATAGTTAGTGGATCCATCTGATGATGTGAAACCATCTGGTTAAAGTTAGGGGTACAAAGTGGTTATAGTTAGTAGTACCAGTGGTTATAATGGAACCAGCGGTTATAGTTAGAGGAACCAACTGGTTACATACGTCTGGAGCAGCTTGTTACACTTAGCGGGACTGGATTGTTATATTTGCTGGCATCAGCTGCTGGTCACATATACGGCGTGTCAGTTATTTTTAATTGAATTAGCTCCTTTTATGGGTGCCAGGATCCCTTTAGGGGGAGGGGGTGGGGTGCAATAGACACACTGCCACCCCCCCCCCCAACCTCCCAAAGGCATGTCATAAAAGTAGACTAACTAGGGGTGTTTCATCCGAAGTGAGAATACAGCTGCATGAGAGGCGAGTTACCAACAGTCTGCATACAAATTAGTCAGATCTGTAAAACGGATGTGCACGAAAAGTCAAATTTTGCAACAAAAGTAAAGTCCAGCACTTTCCGCCGGTGAACGTAGAGAAGGGGAGGTTATCCTTAGTGAGTCTAGTGTGCATATTTAGGGGAATCAGATTGCCAGAATTTTTTTTTTTTTTTTTGGGGGGGGGGGGGGGGGGGGGGTATTTTGTCATTTAACGTAATTGAATACTTCTGTGGAACATGAATTATTGGAACAGGTTTTTAAAACATTGTCGTATTTCTAACAGGAATAATTCGAGTTGGTGGAAATAAAAAAGGGCTCCTGAGCAGACAGAGGCAGCCCAAGGCGGCTGCTTTCATCATACGAGATCGATACAACGACATCCTCAGTGGGAGTAACTCTACCTGTGGCAACAGCCATCTAGATACACTGTCCAGCAAGCCACATACGTACACTAAGCTGAAATAGTTTTATCTTTGGACTTGATGTTTTTGTCACATTTTGAACTTGATGTTATTATATCGATGTCAGTGTCTCTTTGAACTTGATGTTATTATATCGATGTCAGTGTCTCTTTGAACTTGATGTTATTATATCGATGTCAGTGTCTCTTTGAACTTGATGTTAGTATATCGATGTAAGTGTCTCTTTGAACTTGATGTTAGTATATCGATGTCAATGTCTCTTTGAACTTGATGTTAGTATATCGATGTCAGTGTCTCTTTGAACTTGATGTTAGTATATCGATGTCAGTGTCTCTTTAAACTTAATGTTAGTATATCGATGTCAGTGTCTCTTTGAACTTGATGTTAGTATATCGATGTCAATGTCTCTTTGAGCTTGATGTTATTATATCGATGTCAGTGTCTCTTTAAACTTAATGTTAGTATATCGATGTCAGTGTCTCTTTGAACTTGATGTTAGTATATCAATGTCAGTGTCTCTTTAAACTTAATGTTAGTATATCGATGTCAGTGTCTCTTTAAACTTAATGTTAGTATATCGATGTCAGTGTCTCTTTGAACTTGATGTATTATATCGATGTCAGTGTCTCTTTGAACTTGATGTTAGTATATCGATGTCAGTGTCTCTTTGAACTTGATGTTAGTATATCGATGTCAGTGTCTCTTTGAACTTGATGTTAGTATATCGATGTCAGTGTCTCTTTGAACTTGATGTTAGTATATCGATGTCAGTGTCTCTTTAAACTTAATGTTAGTATATCGATGTCAGTGTCTCTTTGAACTTGATGTTATTTTATCGATGTCAGTGTCTCTTTGAACTTGATGCTATTTTATCGATGTCCGTGTCTCTTTAAACTTGATGTTATTGTATCGATGTCAATGTCCATTTGAACTTGATGTTATTGTGAGGCAAATTTATGGAGGGGACCTCAGAGCCTACACATATAACAATATATAATCTGGGTTTGTCTGGGCAAAGATTCAACATGACAGCATTCAGGACAAGCCCGTGTTTGCTCCGTTCTCTTCCTCAACAGACAACAGTCTCTCTAGATGAGGGTTTTAACTACATTCAATTTTATTTATGACCCGACTCTAAAGGCGTGAGATCACTTCTGCCTTGTGTAGTTGCAGTTCACCCCCCCCCCCCTTTCCCCCAGGTGAGAGTCCAGCTAGCCAAACCGCCTGCAGGTTTACCAAACCGCCTGAATGGCCGGGCCAAAAATATCCATGGGACTGTCACCATCTGCCAACTCTGGATTCATGTGACCCATTCCATACGAAGAAAACCTGAGTCCGCACTTTTAAGCATGCTCTGCTAATACGATACCATGACAACATTTGTGAATACAAATATATGTTGGATGAGTATTGTTTGCAGCAGTATTCTTCAACCACGGAAACGTCCAGTGATGGGCCGCGAAAATATCGCTGTCTTTTAATTGAAGATGGCAACCCTATTCCGGAACTTCGCAACGCAGATGACACATTCCTTCTTTCGAACAGCATAAACGGAATAGAACATTTAATATTCTCTACCCAAAAGCACAGTGAAGATTAAAATCTGTTCTTGAATTTAAAGAAAAAGAAAATAATGTCCACAGATAAAACTGGCTGTCACCCAAAAATAAAAATAACTGGTAAAGAAATTGAAAATGTCACAAACTTTGAATATCTAGGATCTATAATAAACAACAATGGAGACGGTTCGACAGAAATTAAAAGGAGGATGGCCAAAGCAATGCAAAGATTGAACAGCCTTAAAAGTCTATGGTTAAGTACCAGCAATGAGATAAAAAATTAGAATTTTGAGAGCATGCATCTTCCCTGTGGCTACATATGGATGTGAGTCGTGGACTATCTCTCAGTCCTTAAGAAAGAGAATAGGGGGCTTTTGAGCTGAAATGCTATAGAAAGATCCTCAGAATATCTTGAACGAAAAAAGAGGAGAAAAATTGACATTGAAAGATCTAAACATCAAGGAAGATTGGCTAATGAACAGTATCCGGTCTCGGAAGCTGAAATATTTTGGTCATATCAAGCGCCACGACGGATTGGACAAATTTATAGCAAAAGGCATGGTACCAGGAAGGAGGAGCAGGGACCGATCAACACGAAGATAGGCACAGGATATAAGCCACTCCTAGAGTATGAAAGTGCATGAGGCGGGAGAGATGGCGAGAGACTGAGTTTCTTTCAGGCAGACCAGTATGAGAGCGACGTTCTGCAAAGGACCTGCTACATGATGATGAATCATTGAAGGATACTAAATCTCCACTGAACAGATTTAAGATCCAATACCCGATTATGACAAGAGATCACACAAGACAATGTATCCAATATTGTAAGAAAGCGCCGCTGGAACTACATCAGCCATGCACTCATAATAGTTAAGACCAGACTACCAATCAAGCTCTCATATGGACACCAGAAGGGACAAGAAAACGGGGAAGACCAAGAGAGACCCTGTGTAGAACCATCATCACGAAAGGCCTAATGAACATCTAAGACCTAAAACAGGTGGCAACGAACCGCCAGACATGGAGAGCTATTACCTCTGCCCTATGCGCCGTCCTCGGCTAAAGAAAAAAAAAAGATTAAGGATTGCAGTCCTTAGGATTAAGACATCCAGATGCCGTGTTAGCGCAGTCGTTGAGAGACACACTTTCAAATCCAGCTGCGACTCGCTGCAGCTCACGGCTGGTGTTCGAAACTGGGCGGTTCCTAGGGTTCCACCTAGCCTCTAGGTAATGGGTACAAGAATTAACGCTCTGGAGTAAATTAATCAGTAACAGAAAGTGTATTGATCGGCACTCATAGAAAGAAGTGGAAGGATAGAAGAAAAAACTAGACAACATAAAAATCGAAAGCTATCGAAAGCTATCTTCTTGGTTGGCGTGCCAGGAATTGAACCGTCACTGTAGACCAATTTCTGGGGTAAATGGAGGAACGTCGCTGTAGCTACTGGGTTAGATGCGGACGACGTTTTTAATCAGCCGCCCGTACTGGTGGCAGAGCACTTACGGTTTATAACCGTTCGCAATGACGCTGGTTCACATCTCCCGACTTTACCTTTTACTCTCACATGCAGGGTAAATGTCAAACAGGTCTAAATCGCAGAAACCAGGTGTTATAGGCTGGAGAACGCCAAAGACTGCAGTTCAGCAACTTGTCGATTTTGGCTTTTGTGCGATTGCCTTGATTTAGTCTGGTTTAAAAATGACCAAGACGCCACAGGAAATGCTTTACGTTTTAGACGTTAACGCAGAGAAGCCTAGCCAGCCATCAGTTAATAAAAGACTAGTCTTTTAGCGCTCTATTTGGCTTCTGGACCGACTCTGCATAACACCGACCTAGCTTTGCACATTAGGCTAGCCAGCATGAGTACGGGCGACTGCAGGGAAAGGCCGATTGTCAGGCTGGTTCCGCGGCGGTGGTATGTTTCCATATTTAGTCCTGAAATAGTAGTCTCTAGTAGTTATATTGTGTAATATGTCGGGATGTATTCTCGCTAGGATGGCAGGTAGCCGACCGACCGACGGACAGACCGACCGACCGACCTACCGACCGACAGGCAGACACTCACGCAGGACAGGACAGGATAGACACACAGACAGGCAGACACACAGACAGACACACAGACACACACCTACCAACCTACCTACATACGTACCTACATACCTACGAAAGTACATACGTACGTACGTACATGTATACATATTTACATACATACATCCTTACATACGTACGTTCGTACATATATACATACATATGTATGTATAGAGCGAGAAAGAGAAAAAAAAGGGAGGGGGGGGGGAGATAGAATGTCTGATATAATGTGATAAGTAAAAACAACTTTACATGAATG